TAAGTGTCTCACTGTTGGTACGGATTTTTTTTATTTTATGAAATTAGTTGCTTTTAGAATAAATACTGGATTGGAATAAAAGTTCACTGATTGTTTCAATAGAAGACAGAATTCATAAGTAGTTCAGATATGAAAATGTTAATCTGAAAAGACTGAGAACATTCTAGAAGCCCTGGAGTCATTGATGATGACTAAATCAAAATGGTGATTAAAAATAATCCAGGTCACATGACACAGAACATTGCATCAGAGATATTCTTCATGCCTCAGATGAGCATCATAAGGCATATGAAAATAATTGCATATGTGAATTTGTGAGCCTCATGCTTTAATGGAAAAAATTTTATGGGCTGCATTTCTATCTAGTATTTTCTGTTCAAACACAAAAATTACCCATTCTGAAAAGAACACACAAAAGTAATGAAAAAATGAATTGTTTACAGCAATGTAGAGGGAAACTGGTTCTAGGGAAAATGAAAAAACAGTCTGCATCGAAAGAAGGCAATGCTGGTGAGATTGGAAGGGCATTGTGTATTATGAACTCTTTCTGCAAAATTAGACATTGAATACAGCGTAGTAGCAAACCACACACATTCCCTCTGTATTCCATTGGTGAGAAGCAAGTGTTATAAAATAAAAGAAGACATATCTCGGCTGATTTACAGGCAAATACTCAAGAGCAAGAGCCGGATGTGAACGGGACAAAACCCCGTCACAAAATGACCATTACTTTCAATTACAAATGTTCCCGACACACGAGTTCCGGTCGAAAAATAAAATAATAATTAAAGTGTTCTATTTTTCGTCCAATAAAAATGCTTCCCTCCTAAATATACTTGCGTCGTTTTTCGAGCCTGTTAAGCCATAAAAAAACGCTATAAAAGGGGTCACACGGAAATTCAAGAGGCAGTCCACAGGTGCCCAGAGTAGAGACCTGTCACGGTAAGCAGCTGTCAGCGGGGAGCATCAACCACCATCAACATGTGTGAACTAGTATGAGAGATCGACCTAGATCCGAAGCCGGCTTATGAATTTTACTACAAGGTAGCTGTTCCAAACCCACACGTTCCTGTTGAAATAAACTACGTAAATCTATTTCTGCTGTTGTCGTATTTCTTTCTTGCAACAATACGCTTGTCTATAACACTGGTGTCAGAAGCGTACAGCAAGAGAAATATGGCCTACTACATGAGCTTCACCCGAGCCGAACTATTTACTCTCATCAAGGAACAGAAAACACTACTATTCAACTTGAAAACGAGACCAACACAGCCTTCCGAAGCCACGATACAGGAAATTCAAGCCGACATAAACGACATGCTGACTGCCCTAAAATCAACTACTTCAACACCTCCCACTGCTCAAACAAACAGCGATTACAGCTTAATGATGCGCCAACAAACCATACGCGACATATTGAAGCTAGAGAGAACTTTTCACCCTGGACACGACGTGAACCGATTCATCACGGCCCTAAACAAAGCATATACAATCCACATCACGCCAGAACTCAGCACCTATCCCAGCCTGGAATGCGAATTTGTCAAGTCTGCTAAAGATTTACTGGACCAAAGCATCAAGAAAACGAAAGCCTCGAACAACCCTACACCGGCAGGCAGGACATTCGATGTAAGCGGTTCAGACCCCCGCGTATACATCCCATCTTGGTGTCTCAGCGAGTTTAACGGTTTACAGCTCATTCCCAAAACTCACCACCACCATCCTGCACTGAGAGAATATCGCCTATCAACCACCACCATCCCCCTGAGAGAATATGTAACCACCTCGGCATCGTGAGATGAACAACTGAAGGATGGCGCCCTGGCAAAGATCATCAGCGCCCTCCAGTCACCCACCCAAGCGAACCTCATATCGATCCTGGCGACCACGAGCTATGCTTTTCAAAAAAACATTTGCACTAATTTTTCTAGAACCAGGCACCTCCGTTTTGATGATAAGAGACAATAAACACTCTCCGAGATTGGTTTACCATAAACCACGACCCAGATACCTCTACCAGGCACATGAGGGCAACAACCACTCAGGTGTTACCCGTATCTTGAGAACTCCTTTCCAGTTACTGGTGGGAATTCAAAACCAGCGACATCAAGGCCTATGTCGATTCTTGCGACACGTGTGCTAAGTGCAAGGGCAACTACGGCAGACGTACCCACTGGCCCATTGGCCACTGCAAATGAGGAAAGAGACCATTCGATCTTGTCTTTATAGACTTTGTCACAATGCCCAACTCAAAGGGAAAACGCTACATCCTAACCATCTTGGATAGCTTCAGCTGACATTTTGCAGCCATACCATGCGCAAGAGACCGTGCTATCGATGCCTCCCGCGGATTGTACCATTTCTTCCTTTGACACAGAGAGATTCCACACATAGTATCCTCTGATCGAGGCACACACTTCACTGGAGAAGTCTATCGACAATTCTGTAACCAGATATCAATCACGCAAGAACTTCACTGTCCTTGACGCCCGCAAAGCTCAGGAAATATCGAGAGACAACATCGCATGCGATGAAGAACGACTTTATATGTTATGCGAAGACAGGAACTGTGAATGGACAGGCGTTCTAGAATCTGTCGTTTAGTCCATGAATGCCACGACCAACAAGCGCCACCGGTGTCTCCCAAGACTATACCATTACCGGCCGTCACCCCAACATCGGCCTACCTACACTACACAGAAAAGAAATCACAAGTGACGATCCTGGAGCATATGAAATGCAAATAATGCCCTGCTAAAGCAGGTTCACCACCACGTCACCCTGGCCAACGATGAAGCTGACCACAAACTTGAGACTAACTTAAATCGCCTCACATACAAGGACCCAATACAAGTAGGCGACAAGGTTTTACTTCATCGGCCACACTCAACTGTTGCCCAATCCTCTCATCTGCCCTGGATAGGAAATTACACCATTATAAAAACGAACAATATGATGTGTCAGGTGCAAAACGATGATGGTGATACAATGTGGATTCACCGTGCACATATCCGACGACTAGCTCCACGCCCGACACATCTTTCTAATACAATCCCTCTGCCTCCACCATGTAACAGTCACCAGGATCATTCTCCTCCACATCCCTCGGGGACACATAATTCAGCAAATAATTCCATACCAAAACAAATGCCAATAAGAAGAACACGAGGACATCTTCCCACACGCTTCAGAGACTTTATCATGAATTAATCACCCAAATATACACGAACAATGCTCACTGTAAATCAGACCGATATCTGGGGGAGCCTTGCTATAAAATAAAAGAAGACATATCTCGGCTGATTTACAGGCAAATACTCAAGAGCAAGAGCCGGATGTGAACGGGACAAAACCCCGTCACAAAATGACCATTACTTTCAATTACAAATGTTCCCGACACACGAGTTCCGGTCGAAAAATAAAATAATAATTAAAGTGTTCTATTTTTCGTCCAATAAAAATGCTTCCCTCCTAAATATACTTGCGTCGTTTTTCAAGCCTGTTAAGCCATAAAAAAACGCCATAAAAGGGGTCACACGGAAGTTCAAGAGGTAGTCCACAGGTGCCCAGAGTAGAGACCTGTCACGGTAAGCAGCTGTCAGCGAGGAGCATCAACCACCATCAACATGTGTGAACTACTATGAGAGATCGACCTAGATCCGAAGCCGGCTTATGAACTTTACTACAAGGTAGCTGTCCCAAACCCACACGTTCCTGTTGAAATAAACTACGTAAATCTATTTCTGCTGTTGTCGTATTTCTTTCTTGCAACCATACGCTTGTCTATAACATAAGTTTTACTCAAGCATCTTCTTCCTGCAAACCACTGCCCTGTGGAACCAACTTTCAACAGGATGTTTCCCTGATCACTACCATCTTAACTTTTTCAAGGCTAGAGTTAATCATTATCTTCCACCCCTATACACACAAATAGCATCTAAATGTAACCTTCTACCTTCAGTCGCTCCTAGATCTTCTAAAGAGTGAACCTCGTTGTAAAAAAAACTGTTCCTAATTGAACTGATTAAAGGCAGCAATTGATAGAAATGTGTGGAATTTGTTAATCAGAAAAGTGTCGACTTCCATCAGGAAGAAATTGGTCAGCTTAACTCAGATTTCCTAATACCCTTGTGGTACTCACCTGATCTTGTAGCTTTGGATTACCACTTATTTCAATCCTTATAAATTCTCTGGAAACCTGTCACAGCGACTTAGGCTCATCACCCAGAAAGATGCCAAGATCTGGGAGGATGGAATCCTGTAACTGCCGCAAAGAGAGAAAAGTTATGGAATAAAATAGTATACATGTGGTTGAATAAATCTATTTACATATATCTAAATATTGTTTTTGAAATCCACTTAAAAAATATAATAGACATTTGTTCTGACAAAATAGGACTTTAAACATTTTGTATCATTTTGGCATTGACCCAAATTAACTTTCTATTAATTCTGGGATAATGTTTCTCTTGAAATCAGATTTTATTCAAATGATTTTAGTAAAACTCTTGTCTAACATTTTGAGAGGATAATTTTCATTTTTACTTAAATTATTCAGACTAACATCTTTAATTTTTTTCTTCTTCCATCCATATAAGACTTTGATGGTTAAGTTTGCATGTGAGAACCTCAATTCCTTTTGAGGTGGTAAAAAGAAAGTATTGAATAATATTAAAGCACTGCAAAATGTGACATTTTCCCAAGCCAGGCTGAAGAATGTTTTGGCCAAGATGTAGGAATAAAAAAAATGATTAAGAGCCTAGTATGAATAATTTGTGGTATAATGAACCAGGAAAATCCAGGTGATATACTTTGGTACTGAGGTACCTACTCTGTAGTTTTAAAATAAATTAATTTATTTTAAACCCATACATTGATCATAATATTTCTTTGAACAAGTTCAGTCAAGTTGTGGTAATTTGTTTATGATTTTTAAAAAAAGTTTGCCATGTTTGAAGAAGAAAAGTAGAATGATTTCCTATTTTTGTTTTCTCTTGCAGGCATTGAAGCCATACAATGTAGGTGTAGCAACAGGTGAGCAGTGCCAAAATCGGGTTCTATTCAAGCAATTTCTCCAGATGGAAGCTATGCAGTTCTGTCAAATTGATGCTTGTCGTCTTGGAGGTGTCAATGAAAATCTGGCAGTTATTTTAATGGCAGCCAAATTTGATGGTAAATATACATTTTTTAAAAGCTTTCTTCAGTTAGATCCACACTGCCTCCTTTTCTAGAAATTAAAAAAATATACGTAAAGGAAATGAACTCTTGATTAATGAAGATGTTATTGTTATTAGCTGTGTGCAAAAGTTCACAGCACAAATCTTTTTTTGAAAACTAGAGACTGAATGTATTATGGAAAATGGGTCAGTTAATGATACCGGAAATTTTTGCACACATCTAATAATTTCTGCATAAAACACTTAAATGGGTGTTGGTTGCTTTTCCATAAAACAAGTTGAGAATAAATTAAAAATATATGTGAAGTTTAAGCAGAAAATAGAAAATTGTTTAATTTTTTTTAAACTTTAGAATAAATTAATAGGAAGATAATTTCATAATATCATATCCACTTTTAATCTGAAAGTTAAAAATGGAATAAAAGAAGTTTAAAAATAAAGTTTTCAAAATTCCTAAGCAGAATAAAAGATGATTTTGTAAATTCTTTTTTGTAAGAATTCATTTGGGATCAAAGTATAGAGTAGTGGTTTCCAAACAGATGCATTTTTAGAATGAAAATTTGTTTGCACCTCACCAAATTTTATGCAATAAAAAATACATTTAAAAATACAAAAAAAAACAAAAAAACAGATGAGGGTTAAAGGGAGATAACCACAGGTTCAAAGTCAGAAATATATCATTGATAACTCTCTCCTGCAATTTGTGGACACTACTTACTATATTCTTAATACTTGATATCATACAAAAATATCACAATGATAAAATTGGTAAATAATTATTTATAACTATTTATACTGGGACTCATGCACGCAATTACAAGTAATCTATAATAATATTTAAAATTTTGAAATGATATTTATTTTTGGCATATGAATTTTTTGAAATTGTTTCTAAATCTTTGTCTTTCTTTGAGCTGCTGGCATATTTTGTAGAGAAAAACATTAAAATTCCTTTCCTTTCTACCATGCAACAATGGCCTAGAGGTTAGATATCTGACTGATGTCAAATCATTCAGGTTTCAATCCCGGCTTGAAGCAATTGGACATCTAGCCACACTGAGGAGCTGTGATACAGTGAAACAGTCTATCTGTGGATGACTATATATATATATATATATATATATATATATATATATAATCTTTATCACTTGTAATAATTACTATAAGGAATACATAGGAGAAACCTCAATGAGTTTAAATGAAAGATTATATGAACACAAAAGGGATCTTTTACAAAACAACACACAATGCATTAGTTACTCACTGTAACAAGTCTGACCATAATTTTGATTTAAAAAATGCTACTCTAATTAAAAGAGAAAGCAAGTTACTAAGGCAAAAATGTATAGAAAGTACTTCAATTGTGAGATCATCCACAGTAAATTTACATTGCGTTTCTTACAACATTTCACCTTTCTTGACAGATTTTCTATTATCACAACGTGGGATACTTAATACCAAAAATGATAAAAACAAACAAAAAGAAACTAAATGAAATCAGATTATGTAGCCAAAACATATATTTAAGAAAAAAAACTTTACTTTAGATTTAAAATTCTCAGTGTCACATGTAGTCACATCAATGTAAACATCTTGAGTCTGATGAAGCCTGAAAGGACGAAATGTGTAACACAAAACTTTTTCCACTTTGTCGTTGATTTCCCTAAAAAAATTATTCTTAATATATAAAGTTTATATATCATTTATATATATATATATATATATATATATATATATATGTATGCATTATTTATTTTAGGATATTAAAACATTATAAAAATTTGATACAAAATCACAATTATATTTCAACACCATAAATGTGTCTCTTCAGGCGATGTTAAACTACTGGTGAGTAAAAGATTAATTTGATTTCAAAGAGCAGAATACTTTAAAAAGAACAGACTTGTGTGCACTTTGCTGTGATTAACCAATCAAATGTGACCTATGCTATATTCAAATTCACTGGAAAACTTTTTTTTTTTATTATAGGTCATGACACAAATTGTTTGCATATAAAAGCTAGACAATTTCCTAATGCGCAGATACAGATTGTTATATTGTTTTGTAAGATGTATTGAAATCAGATGCTAAAACTTACTAAGAAGCAAAAGTGATGAGGAGGTAATTCAAAATAATGTTAACCAGTTATTTGCTTGTTCAGCTTCTTACATAAAATTTTGTAGTTGATAAATAAAAGGCCCCTTTAAGAAACTGGTAAATAACTTAACCGTTTGAAAAAAAAAAAAAAAATAGATCAAAAATACAGAACAACTTTGGCAATATGCATCCGTTAAATAAAGACCATCCATATAAGATTTTAATAATGCCAACTAATCAATGTAAGATGTTAATAATACCAACCAAACACCAGTTCATCCATATAAGATGTTAATAATACTAACCAAACATCAATACAATGCAATATTAAATCAAAATGAATCATACAAATAGAATAGTAAGCCATATAAGGTGCACAACAGTTCATATACTGATTATTACTATAAGAAAAAGCATTATCAAATTCAAAGTTTAAGCATATTATTTTTTTTATTATTTTATTCCCCTCCCCCCTGAATGGTTAAGTCGTTTGCCAGTTTCTTAAAGGGGTCTTTCAACTACAAAAAATTTAATGTAAAAAGATGAATGGGCATATAACTGGCTAACATCATGTTGAATTACCTCCCCATCACTTTCGCTATTTTGGTAAGTTTTACAAAGCAATGTAACAATTTGTATCTGCCTATAAAGAAATTGTTTTTTTTTTCTGGTGAAATTGAATGTAGCATAGGTCACATTCAATTTGTTAATCATGGCAAAGCCCACAAATCTATTCTTTTTAATGTATTCTGCTTTTTGAAATCAAATTAATCTTTCCCTCATCGGTAGTTTAACATTGCCTGAAGAGACACTTATAGTGTTGAAACATAATTGTAATTATGTAGCAATTTTTTTTAAACATGTTTTAAAATCCTAAAATAAATAATATTTAGCTCTACTATGTATTGAGCCATCTTTTCAATGTTGCATACAGTGGAACCATACTCCATTTCTTCTCATTTTACCTGGATATATATGAGGGAATATCCAATCAGTGTATGACCACACAAAATCAGCCATTCAGAGAGAAAGAAAGTGATACAAGTTTGATTATAGATCACAAATGAGTATCATATTATAATTCTGCTCATTTCTCAATTAGTTACTAAGCGTATGCATTACACCCTGCCCTCTGATAATAATGGATCATTCCAGGAAAGATAGAAGAAAAATATATTATCAGAGACACTGTTTGGTTTTAGCAAGAAAAAGAAAGCAGACATAATAAGAAAGTAATAAAGAGAAGATAGAAGAGGCAATCATACTCTCATATAAATATCATATATACTCTCATATAAATATCTCATATAAATATCATATATACATATATACTCATATAAATATCATATATACTCTCATATAAATATCTCATATAAATATCATATATACTCTCATATAAATATCATACTCTCATATAAATATCTCATATAAATATCATATATACTCTCATATAAATATCATATATACTCTCATATAAATATCATATAAATATCATATAAATATCTCATATAAATATCATATATACTCTCATATAAATATCTCATATAAATATCATATATACTCTCATATAAATATCATATATACTCTCATATAAATATCTCATATAAATATCATATATACTCTCATATAAATATCATATATACTCTCATATAAATATCTCATATAAATATCATATATACTCTCATATAAATATAAATATCTCATATAAATATCTCATATAAATATCATATATACTCTCATATAAATATCTCATATAAATATCATATATACTCTCATATAAATATCTCATATAAATATCATATATACTCTCATATAAATATCTCATATAAATATCATATATACTCTCATATAAATATCTCATATAAATATCATATATACTCTCATATAAAATCTCATATAAATATCATATATACTCTCATATAAATATCTCATATAAATATCATATATACTCTCATATAAATATCTCATATAAATATCATATATACTCTCATATAAATATCTCATATACTCTCATATAAATATCATATATACTTAATGCCTGTCTCACTGAAATAGAAAATCTTGTCAATTTTAAATCTGGCATTTGTATCATCTTACTCCTTTAAATATTGACTACTGGTATTTTATAGTCATGGAACACATGAGCAACTTTATCAATCATTAAATGAAGAATTATGATTCATTGAAAAATTCAAATAGGAAAACTTAAATTTTCACAGGTACTGCTAATTTATTTCTAATTTGTTAATGTTTTTAGTTTACATAATGTTGCTTGGCTGGTTTAATGAATGTTAATATTGTCTAAATGTTTGTAATCCAACACTTTCAAGCATTCAATTTTTTTTATATATAAAAAGTTTTTAAATCTGGCAACATATCATTTGTTGTTTGAATATTATGATGACATCATAGACAACATTCAAGTGAAATCATTTATGGGCTTGATTTAGTTGCTAAATTCATTTAAAATCTTAGTCCCTAATCTGAAGAAGATTTCAGATCTGACAATATTTAACTTTCAAAAGGGAGTAAAAAAAAAAAAAAAAAAAGAAAGTGGTGTCAAGGTAATAACCATCCTTTAGACACACCATTTTTTTGCAGGCACAAAGGTTAAACATGGCTTTAGATCCTATTTAATCTATTATTTTAAAATAATTTTGATAATTTGAATAAAGATTTTTTTAAATTAATGTTGTACATATGCATGTATAGTTTTCAAGTGTTGATAATATATTAGTGGAAATATCAGTGCCAAACATCTATTTTTTTTCTGGATTTTGAAAAAGATCAGAAGTACGCTTGAAATGCAAACATCTGCACAGTATTTACTCATTAGATCCAAGCATCCATTCTTTTATATGTATTGTTTAATGAAAGACAGCAGCCTAATATATCTTTTTTTAAAATTTTTTTTTAGTTCCTGTGTGCCCTCATGCAGGTGGTGTAGGCCTATGTGAACTTGTACAACACCTTTCTATATTTGATTATATCAGTGTTTCTGGAAAGCTCAGGTAAATAATATACCTTTTCTCAGCTAACCTTTATCAAAATATGATATTTTTAAAACTTTGGAGCGGTTATGCCCCTTGTTTTCTGGATTTCCCTATGATTTGTAACGGTTTCATTGTAATTCATCAATTTACTGCCTTGTTTTGATATTTCTAACTGTACCTTAATATCTGTCTTTTGATGTCCTACAAAATAGAATGTTCTCCTCCTCTCTTTTAGCATTTGACGAAATAAAGGAAGTTCTATTTTCTGAAACTGAGGAACATATTTTTTATCTAACTTAAAAAGAGTCAGATTTTTTAATCTCTTTCAATGAAACACATCTCTTTGAATAATTATATAATATTTGAACTTGCATGTATGTGTATTATATTTTTATATATCTAGTATGTACATATATACTGAAATAATATATGGATTTGATGTACACAGATATGAGGGGGTGCTGAAGAATTTTCAGCCTGCCACTTTTGCCTATATTAGACCAAACAGAATTTATTTTGGAGTCACTTTAATGGTTGGGTAGAGAGCTTTCTAACCTTTTTCCAGATTTGGTTGAAGATCAACAAAAGTTCCTTGCTTAAGATCTTTTTTTATTTTCATTTTTCTAGTGCTCACATCATTTTCCTGGTTTCTGAAGAGAATCAAAAATCAAGAAAGACCAATAAAATTAACAATATAAGAAAAACTCAAAAATTCAATAAACTAATGTCATATATGAGTTCATTTGTCCATTTGGAAAGTGACTCCCCAATAATAATTACTCAAACAACACATACTTTACAAAATTACTACATTATTGCACTGTTTGAATATATAATGTCAGAAAGAAAGCTTACAGAATTCACAGAATTAAAAGTGAAAGTAATAATCTTGATGAAAATAGACACATAATACTACCTAACAACTCAATAACAATTGAAAAGAATTTATCTAAAATTAATAAAAAATCTGTTACAAATATTTAAAAACAATAAGTGATTTAATGAACACAAAACTAATTTTAAATCTGAACAAGGAATTTACAAAATAAACAGCAAAAATGTTCCAAGAAATAAACAGATGAAATGTCTAAGAATTTAAATAAAAGATCATGCTAGGTTTGACCATATTTTAACTTAAAGAATGTAGTTTTAATTAAAGGAGAAATTAAACATGTTCTCATGGTAGGCAAAAGCATATTACTGATTATTAATAGGATATTCAGAGATTGCAAATCCAGATGTACTGGAATATTACACAAATTTTGAAGTTGACCTTGAGGATAATGGTGTTTTGTATTTTTTGGAAGTTTCACTATAAAAATGAAACCAGAAAATCAATTTTACCTGGTTATATATCTGTTGAGACTTATTTTGTCCTATGCAATTCAAGATCAAAATCTTTATTAAGACTTTAGTCATTAGTGCCCTAAGACTAAATAGATTTTGAATTAGAATTTATTAAGAAGGTATTATGTGATAATGACTATACTTGAGATGTGGTACAATGTAAAATTTGTGCTAAGATTGCACAGTTCTTAAAACCTACACTAATTCACGTATCTTCTCTTCTCAACCAATGTTAAAATCTATCTATAAATATGACCTACCTATTTATCAGTTTAAGTGTCAATATATGGCTGACCACATAGGTAGGAACACCCTATTTCTCAGTATGTTGGAGCATGCATTCAAAAACATTAAATTCAAAATTTGCAGAATTGTTCCATCTGAGTTTGCAATCTCTGACTAGCTTATTAATAATTAGTGATATGCTTTGGCTGAATGCTAGGCTTTGTTTGGTACATTGTTAATCACATTTAAATTTTCATCAAATCATTTCAAACTTCATGTAAAGAAAAAGAATGGTTGTTGGGTGATTAGCTTGTAATATGTTAATATATTATTAATATATTTGTATTTTATATACTCATTTTTCCTTTTTTAGTTCACAGCTAGTTTATTTTTCCTTGATTGAGTTCTGATGAAAGAGAGAAATGAGAAACAACCAACCTTTTCTTAATATCTTTTTTGAATTGCCATTTATGATAAGTGTAATTTTTTCTCCCTATTTGCCTCTTTTTATTTTTTTAAATAAATATGTCTATTTTTATGGCACTGTATCCCAAGAAGATCTTTAAATAATGACAAAAATAGAACTAAACATGATAGAAAGCTGAACAAGTTCAGCTAAGTTATGCATCTCAATACATCAGATTTAACATTTAACGCTAAGTGTCTATGGTGTTGTCAGCATTTCTCCTTGTAAAATTGTAACCAAAATTTGTTGTATTTCTTCCCCTCATTATGTAAGATTCTATCGATAAAACATTTATTATCCTGAAGAAGTCCTTTTGAGGGACAAAATGTGTAACATAAGAGATTTATCTATTTTGTAATTAAATTATCCACTGTGTGTGTGTGTATATATATATATATATATATATATATATATATACACACACACACACACATAGACCCACATACATACACTTTGGTCTTACACTAAGCATAAAGAAAACTGAAGTAGTGCACCAACCTTGTCCTACTCTGAAGCAATTCCTTGGTGTGAAACAAAAACCACCAGTCTACAAATTTCCTGAGAGATCATTGAAAGTAGAAGACAAAGCCTTAAACTATGTAAAGTTTTTCACCTATCTTGGTAGCAAAGTAAACTACAGTGGATCTTTAGATGAAATCATGCATCGGATTGCTTAGGCTACCAGTGCCTTTGGCAAAATTCGCTGTCGTTTGTGGAATGAGCAGGGTATTCAACTGGATATGAAAATTCGGGTTTATAGAGCTGTTGTCCTTGCCATCCTTTTGTACAGCTTAGAGTTGTGGACTCCATACAGGTACCATATATGCCAGCTGGGTGTTTTCCATAAGAGTTGTCTGCATAACATCTGTGGAGTTAGCCTTCAAGACAGAACATCCAATGTGTATGTGTTTAACAGGTGTAATATTGGGGGAATTGAGACTTTCCTCATACAGTCTCAGTTGTGGTGGACTGGTCATGTCTTGAAAATGTCTGATGACAAGATACCAAAGATCTTAATGTACAGCCAGTTAGATCAGGGCTACAGAAATGTAGGTTGTCCATGGCTTAGATACAAAGACAAGCTGAAGAGTAACTTGTCAGCTGTCAATATACCTCTTGAGCACTTAGCCTTGGAGCGGGTAGAGTGGAGATCAATATGTTTTAGAATACTCAGTGGTTTTCAATCTGCTAGTCTGAATCATCTTCAAGAAGAGCAAGATCCAAAAGGTCAGCCAATCTAACAGTGACCTTGTCCAACAATCCTCACTCTTGCTCCATATTATGTGGCCTCCTTTGCAAATCACTAGTGGGTCTTAAGTGCCACTTAAGATTATCGCACAAAATTTCTTAACTGAATCAATTGGTTAATTTGTCAGATCTTCATATATCAAAACCGATCAGAGAGTCCATTATATATCATGGTTTCCTACTTATTGCATAAGAACTGCCACTGTGGTCATGGCAAATGAAGTGGATCCCCCACAACCTCTGGAAGCCTGATAGTATGCACATGATTGTTTATAGTCATTGCACAACACTGTGTGGATTCTCCATATCAGACAGCCTTGAACCAATGAGAAGAACCAGTCAAGATAATTATATCTGTGCTGCATACAAACTGAGTAGTCTGAGGGTAAAACATAAGCGTGAGTCATTAATGCCCAAGTCATATAATAATGATAAACCATTGTTTCAGGTGTTTCTCAAGTGGTTGCCATTGTAAGTACTGGCCAGACTCAGCATTGCTTAACTTTGGTGAATGAATGGAACCAGTGCCTTCAGCATGATTTTTGACTATAAGCACACAAAAACATATGTGGTTGTGTGTGTTTGAAAAGTATAGACATTTTCTGTCTGCTAAGTTTAACCATCGTTTTTTTTTTTTAAATTGCCCTGCAAATGTATAAAATTTCCAAAAGCAATATAATTGCTATGTCCTAGCTTTTGACTCCCATGCATCATCATCAAGGGCATGTACATAGTAAATTTATAATCATTATAAACAAGAAATACATGAAGAAAATCATAAGTGGTACATTTAATGTATAGTTTATTTTAAATTGTATCGAATAAATTAAAAACACAAGAAGTCTTTACCACCACATCATGATAATGGGCATCAGTCATGTGTGATGATTTTTCTTTTTTAAATTATATATATATATTATGCAGGGTTGGAGACTATAATTATCTTTATTGATGTCTGGTTGTTTTTGTCTGATGTAGATTGTTTAAAAAAATATTTGAGTTTTTTCCTATTGGATTATTTTGGTGTTATTTGTAAAGAACTGCCTCATATAACTATAGTTCTTGTGACGCTTGTTAATGTACTGTTTAATAGTAATTTGTTTAGATAAATAACATGTAAGTGTGTAGGAACAAGTGGTTCTTGTGCAACCTGTATAAGATATTGTTTACTGTTTACAGAGACACAATTTTCAATTGGACAGATAAATTTGTAAACAACATTAGTCTTACATAGTTGGTGTGCTGAGAAATATTTTTTATAAATTAGATTGAAACTTTTTATAATAAATCTTATGTGGCTATTTTTTTCTACAGGTTTAATATATCAATGTATTATCTTTTTGTAATTGTGGTGCATTTGATTTCTGTAGAATATGTTAAATGGTATTGTTATTAATTTTATCTTGAGAATTTGGGTTTATATTAAAATTATTATTGTGTAAGTAAAGTCTAATTTGATTGTCAACGGTCTAATTGGGGAAGCCATTGTTAATAAGTGTTTGCTTATGCTACTTAATTCCCGAAGAAAAACGTTTTAGATGAGGAGACTAATTTAAACCTTTGGATTAAATTCTTTACAACTGCAACTGCATATCTTTCCAGATATTCACTTTTATAGTATAGATGAAAATTAAAACTAGAGGATTTTTTTTTATAGGATGAGTTAGTGAATTTATGATCTTTATAATTAAAACGTACATTTAGAAAAGTTCTATAATATCATTAACAGCTTTTCTATAAAAATATCATTAATGTATCACATATAAATAATGGGTTTATTAAACATAGTTTTCAAGATGGTCCATAATGACACCAGCAGTTTGAGTGTAGATATTACCTAGGTGATCATTAAATAGAATGCATAATGTACAAGCTACTAAAAGATTTTTTGTGGAGTTAATTTTCAAAGAGAAGATTGATGATAAATATTGTTTAATATCAATTGTTTCATTGATAGGAACATTACTAAATAGGTTTTCAACATCTAATGATGCTAATGTTTCATTTTGTAGTATATGAGAATGGAGGATTTGTAAGAATTCATTAGTAGAATTGATAGTATATTTGGTAAAAAAAAAGATATGGTATGTGGATGACTTGTGATATGATAGGGCAGAGTGGGTTACCTGGTTTATAAATTTTAACATTACAATAGCTGGGGTGATATTCACCTATAACTTTTTGAATTTTAAGTGATCCTATTTCTGCCTCATTAAAAGATATAAGATTATTTACATTTTTTTTAACTGAGAGTTAGTGTTTTTCTTAAGTTTTGTAAATTTAGTGCCAACATTTAGGATAGGTTGTAATTTTGTCTAGTATTTGTTTTTATCAAGTATAATCAAGATATTTGATTTATCAGCATTCCTAATTATAATATCTGGGATTTCTCTAAGTTTGTGGTAGGCTTTCTTCAAGTTGAGACTGTTATTTAAGAGCTTTCTGGTTATTAAATCTAGTTTTGATGGATTCAGCTTTTAATTAAGAAGTATTGTAATAAGATTATCCTCTTTAAAATATTGTGGTGTAATAATATATGAAAAACTGTCATTACATATGGCTGATGCACACTATCATAACACATGTACTTATTCACTACCTACAAACCCATGATGATGACTCATGGGAGTTGAAAGTTCTGTTATGGCAATTATATTGATTTTGGAATGTCAATTATATGTATTTTTGTATGTCTGCAGAAACCAATTTTCTGAAAGATCATTTGTGGTTTAGAAAAAAAAGATAGTTAACTTAGACATAAAATGTCTATACTTTTCAATATAACATATTTAAAAGAAAAATTGCTGCCTAATAGCACTAATATATATATATATATATATATATATATATATATATATATATATATATATATACACATACAAACATATTCTTAGACAGCAAAATTCATGAAAATGATGTAGGAACTATTTTGGATTTCAGAATTTAAAGTTGCCTGAATTTTGCTATGCTACTTGGCATAATTGAGTATAAAAGAAATTTATTTTCAGGTGGCCTTGGTTTCTTTCAAGCCACAGTGAAAAGTATTCTGGTCTATGGTGCTGAAAGCTGGACTCTAACAAAGGAGTTGAATAATACACTTAATGGAACATATACATGGATGCTCAGGTCTACACTTGGTGTATCATTGAAAAGAGCACAAAACAAATAAGGAGCTCAATAGAAAACTGCAAAACTATGGATTAGAAGATTGTCATTCATTGGGAACATTTAGAGAAGGAAAGAACTGTCGAATAAAGGACTCTTGTGGGAACGTAAATATAGAAAACAGAAGAGAAGGAAATTATGTGGATCAGCTAAGAAACAATATTGGTTTGAAGAATGAAGAACATGGAAAACAGAAAAATAAAAGAAACTAGTCAAGGATGTTTGAGTTTGCTCAAAAAAAGAACCGAGTATAATTTTAGAGTAATGTAATGATTCATACTTAAATAGATTTACACAAACATTTTAGTCAATCTTTTGATTCTACATGTACAGAAGATGGTTTGATTACAGAATCTATGCCCAATTGTAATTAGCTACTACATTGGGAATGAAGTCTCTGATAGGACAAATTAAAAGCTGCAAAATGTACTCTCATTGCTTGGGTGTGCTTTTATAGAAGGGGAACTTTAAGGAAATGACATTTGTGTTTCTTCAATAACTATTAAATATTTATTATAATGCTAACTAATTAATGTTGCAAAAAAAAAGAAATATTTAAAAAAAAAAAAAAAAAGAAATTTTTAAATAATTTTGCAATTTCTTTGTATGAAAAATAACCCCAAAAACCATATTTCTTGAATATTAAACTAAAAGTAAAATTAAATAAAAAATTGATTCTCTACCTTCTCTTGCTATAAATGAATATAATTATAAATATGACTAATTATATTAATTTAATTTTAATATATACTTAAACATATCTTACATCAAAAGTTTATCTACAGAGCCATTTGGAATTTAAATTTTTAAAAAATCATATGCTTAAATTATGGTAGTGACATCATATGTCACTTTATTACTCTAGTTTTAACCTCTTTTGTGATAGCTGAAAGCCAACCTGAAGAGTTAAGGCTACCAAAGCTGGGGCTAATGCAGGCTACCAGAAAAACATTTTTTTTTTTTTTTCATCAACCTTGGGATGAAAGACTGTGGAACAACTAACAAGTTAGCCTTTCCTGCTGGCCTATACTTATCTGTTCATTTAAGCTTAAGCTTAGTGAATGCTGAAATAGCTGTTTGTAAGCAACAGTGGCCACACTCCAGTAAACCACTTTGACTGGCGGGCAAACCAAGCAAGGTTTCTGTCAATTCTATTGTATGTGAAGAGACTGATTCCTGCGAGATCTACAGCTCCAATGGATAGGAAGATGTTGTCAGGAAGTGTGTCATTTACTACATGGATACAGCCCCAGTCATCTATTGCAGCCTGGAAGTCTCCAGTTATAATGGTTCCTCATCCTACCAGATAAATAGTGGGGTGGGGGGATAAAGAATAAAGTGATTTTGGTAACTCCAAATGCTCATAGACTTTGGAACAACTGTTTTCATGGTCATATTTTTTTTTCTTTTTTTGTATTTCTAGAGTTTTAGAATATGTGGACCATTTGCATGAACATTTCAAAGAACCAGTGATAATAAGGAATGGCAATTACCAAGTACCTTTGGTAAGTTGTCACCCTTTCACATTATTCTTTCAGCAAATCCCTAAAAGCGAAGCAAAAATACGATTCTTAATTTATGTAAACTTTAATGAAAAAAACTTTTATAGTTAAAGAAAATTGAAATGTTTGCCTTTCATAAAGTAAAAAAAAAAGAGGATTGTCCTGAAGAGTTGGTCAAGTTGTAATTTTGAAAGAAATGTCATGTCACCTGTCTACTAGTCTTCTCATCCAAAGTAAATGAAGGGTGACTAAATTTTCAATACAACCAGACAGTAAACTTTCCCTTTCCTTATAAAATCTTACAAAACCTAATGCAAGTCAGTCTTCATGAAGGTTTTCAATTCAAAACTAGTTTTCTTCAGCATCGATTTCATGTTTGCTGTTCTTAAAATAGCTTTGATCATGAATCAAAATCATATCAACGATTATAATTTAAATATAAAATTAAGATGAATACTTTTCAATCTCCAATATAGTTTTTTTTTTCATTTTTTGTATCTTTATCTTTCTTTTTGTTTTACTATAATACTTTCACCAGATCTATTTTTCATTTGTCAGATTAAACTATCAAGACAATTTGGAACAAACTTAATTTCAGTAAGAGTAGCTTTCTATGTAGCAATGTCTACATCATGTTGGACACTAAAACCATTATATGTAAATGGTATAGGTGTAACTCTTATGATAGGAGATAAGAAGGCTGACAAATAGAGCCATAAAAAATGTGATTAAAAAACATGATAATCTTCAGTGTGTGTCTCACAACTAGAACTTTTGTAAAAGATAGTCTTGAATAAATTGGTTATTTTTTTGCTATAATTGTAATTGAAAAGCAAAGATTAATAATGTAAATACTGTGCTTTTGCATTATATAGAATCCTGGTTATAGTGCTGAGATGAAAGAAGAATCCTTGAACCAATATGAATATCCTAAAGGAAGCAAATGGCAGGAACTTTTTGCTGGAGGCTTTTTGAAGCAAGACTAACATCCAATCACAAGTAAACAAATGGAAAGTAATTGCTGGGTTGGTGATACTCAATAATCATACATTTACCATAAAAGAAATCACTACTGAAGTACATTTTGATTGTCCACTAGTTAATATAAGAATCTATAAAATATTTTTTTTTATTCAAACATTTCTAGATTTTCTAAACATATTTGTTTAAAGAGGATTTTCTTGTCATAGTTATGTTACTTCTTTTATTTCAGTTATGTGAACCCTTTCATTCAGTGTAGCTGTTAAGTTTAAGTTTCAGGTTCTGATTTCAGTCCTAGACAGGGGTACTAGATAACAACATTTTAATCCTATTAATATTTCATTAATACAAATAAATTTCCCACAGAACAAATTATTTTAAAGAAATGTTTCTATAGAATATAAAATCTACATGTTTCTGGCAATAAATCCCAAATCTTTTTATTTTTTAAATATTGGTTAACAAAAATATTCATTCTGTTTATTTTTTGAAAATTTACATTGACTTTACTGACCAACATATTTATTATTTTGTTCCACTATATTTTGTCAACTTTCAGGCAACTTCAAAATTCCACCCTCCGAGAACATTTTATTTTGGTTCATAAAGAAATGTTCTAAGGGCTTCATTCAGTTTTCCAAAGAACCAAGATTTTATCCATTCAGAGGAGTCTTTAAAAACCCAAATAAATGGTCATTCCAAAGTGCAATATCTAGTCATCATGGCAAATGAGTCAAACCATTGTAGTAAAGTTCTAATCTGTAATAATTTTGCCTAACCACCCAAGAAAATGATATCTCCTGTTATCCTCATTAAGCATTATATTCTTTAAATAATTCAAGACACTATTTTCAATTGCCATTTTTAATGGGTCCATTTGAATCAATCATTTACTTCTTGGGGAGATCATAACAGAGGACTCTTACCATATACAGCATAACCTTCTTTGGATGAAGACAAGACCTTGGTATGGTTCATTCCACTTGCTTGAAAATTTTGTTTGTTCTATGTTGTAACATATCTACTTTTAAGGTTTAAAAACATTAATATTGTCCACTAAGTTATGTTTACTTATGTGGAAGCTGTATATCAGGGAAAATAATTTAACTAAGCTGTTGCAAATGTTTTTCATTGATTGATTTGGATATCTTCAATAAATGAAGAAAAGAAATGCATGATGATACAACTGTCACAATAACGAATCCTTTTAAATTTAGTAACATTTTAAGTTACCCTATATATTATCAGAATGATACTTTATTTATAGATATTTAGAAAATTCAGCATCAATTCCACTGCAATGCAAAAGAAAAAAGGATTTACTTAATACAATCTTCCAAATGGTGAGGGAGGGAACAGCTTACTTTTGAAAATCAGCAGTCAAACCCCTGATATCAGCAACTAAGTAGACCAAATGATTATACTTACTTTTTCAGCTGCATGATAAATGAAGTTTATTTCGTTTTTGAGAGGTCAACAGAATAGAAAGAATATTCAAGTTTAGAGAATTTTTCATTCATTAAAATTAAAAACACATATGTAAATTGACCAATTGAAAATCTTAACAAGAAAAATAAAGAAACGTTGATATTGATAATTGACCTCTGATTGCTTATTGAAACAATGATGGTGATCAAAGCTGAACAAAAAATAAAAAAAACTTGAAAGCTTGAACCTACCAACTCAGTGTATCAGAATCTAATCTACTTTTGTTTATTAAGAAAAAAACATCAACAATTAAACACTTTGCTTAGTGATATTAATGAATTCTAATAAAAGTTTGGGTTTATTGTTTATTAAACCAACATGATAATCTCAAATGACATTTGACAATGTTCAATGCATTCATCAATCAATACATTGGAAAATTGAAAATTGAATAAAAGATCAAAGTAGAAAATTAAAAAAGGATGAGTGGTGAGGGAAGAAGAGAAAAAAAAAGAAGAAAAAGTCAGTTGACAAAGAATAAATAAGTGGTTTGTGCTTGTTTCAATTTAATGGCAAAACTCGAAATCTTAAAGAAAAAATTTAGATCTAGCTCTACATTAGTTTAGAGGTCCGTCTGAAATGATTTACAACCTTTGTGGCTTTTATTGAAAAAGATGTGAAGATTTGGCTTGTATAGTTGGCCCAGAGAAGCACTAATAGAAACTGAAGACTACCACTTTAAAAAATTGGAGTTGAAGAGATGATGGGAAACAAATGAACAATGTTGATATCAAAGCCATTGATTGTGTTTGTTTTCCTTGGAGATTTGGGGAGGGGGTCTGATCTTAGTGGCTATAAAGAAATACATCATCAAAAGTGAAGAAAACAGTTTTTTTTTAGGTGGGGGTGGGGGATGCAACAAACTGTAGGCACGAATATTCAGAAAACTTAAAACGATTATTTTAGTGCATTATTTTGCTTAGAATTATTGCCACATGATGTAAACAATAGTCTGTGTATTATTTAAACAAATTAGCTACAAATAATCAACATTATCTTTTTTTAATCATCTGTCACTTATATTATTGCCAACTAAGACTGTTTTTACATTTTTCTAACCTTTTATCACATGAAGATAACTCTAATAAAAACATTTCACTGTAGACAAAATGGCACCAAATTTTTCTCAACTGTCCATGTTATATCTTCAAATGAACATTTGCCAACAAAAAAGAAATGTGCATGAGGACTACAAAAACCATAGCATTTCAAGGAAAACATTTTGGATGAAAGTTTTGCAGGATATTATAGTGGACTGGAAGATTAAAGATAGACAATACACAGGGGAAGAACAAAATGTTACATATGAGGATTATTCATTATAAAAGGAAAAAGATGCAAAATTCATGTGGTGACAAAATGTTGGTGCACTAATTTAAATTCATAATTAATAATATGCATCATTTCAAGATTTTCACATCTGATCTAATGCTTTCAATGAACTTTTATAAAGTTTGGAAAATTTTCATTTAAGTAACACACTAATTAACCGTTTTAGATAAATTATAAAATAAGTAGTGAAGTAATCATTCTAAGTAATGCAGTTAACTGAAATAAGTGCTGTGCAATTTGTTGTACAAATTTTATAGGAAATAAAGTTACAAGGCGAAACAAATTTGGATGATGGAAGAAATTCTAACACTTTCAAGGAAACCTGAAGGATAGTGTGCAAGTGTGGAGAATAAATTATTTTGGTGACAAATTCAAAAAAATTAACTCTAAATGGAAGTGCCTCCTTCAAGCTCTTAGGTTTCATTCTGAACATTGAATGAATTCTAAATATAACTAATAGAGGTGAAATCTAATTCACAAAAGGAGAAGTAAGAGTTTATACATAGAAAAAAAAATCCAAATATACCATATTTTTAGGTGTGGAAAGTCCTAAGAATTAGTCATATTTTTGCACCATTACCAAATTGTTATTCCTGAAAGAATAGGATGAGACTTATGAGACTCTTAAATAAAATAAACTGGAGATGGTTTAAATAAGTTAGTTTGAAAGACTGAAATGATGTTGACTGAAATGGAATGTCCATATTGTAACTGGCAAAATACTCAGAACTATTTCAAATTCTTCCTTCTGCAGCCCTTACTCCACTCATTTAAATCTGTAAGTTATTTTGGTACAAGGCCAAAAATTAAAATCCCAATTTCTGAAAAGGGAAAAAATTTGAATTCAGTATACAACCTTTCAATATTCAACAAAATTCAATGGCTTTCTCTTTCCTGCCAAAAATGAATTCTTGCTGCTAGACAATATCAGAATAGCAAGAACAAACAATTTTAAATTTTTAAAGTGGAAACTCATATTAGTTATGAGAGTTTGATAGAAAAAACACAAAATGAGATTTATTGTGATTAATTGTTTCTCCTGGTTACAAGGATGAGAAATTAATGATTCTTGATTTTTGTTTATGAAAGGGCTCAAAGTAAAGTAGCAATAATTCATTTTACAGTCAGCATATTAATTTAACCTTTAATGCCAAGATAAAGAGAAAGATTTTGGGGAATCAATTTAAACATTGAATTCCTAATTGCAAATGGTTGGGAGGTTTCAGGGGTTCAAGAATTGTGACTAATTTAGAACATAAAAAACAATAATAACTGGAAGCTCTAGAGAGATGTTTATTTTGGCAAAAATAAAAGGTTCAATGGAGAACACCCAGCTGATTGAAAATTCTGATGTAAAATTTCAGAGAAAGAGGAAATATATTAAATGCAAAGAAATTTATCTACATATTTCATTGAAAACATTATAAAGAAAAACAAAAGTATTTACAGAGATAAAAAGAAAAATTCTAACTTTAATACACAGTAAATGAAAAATTTCCAAAGTTTATTTGTAAAGAGCAGAAATTTGTAAAGTTTAGTAAATACTGTATGGTAAGGGAAAAAAAACAAACAAAGCAATCAATGAGTCATGATAGAAGTATCACCCTTTTCAGCACTTAAAATATATCATATTGAGAGAGGTGGACATACTGAAAATTAGTACTACAATATCATGCTTCTGACTAGACCTTTTATTTAAAATCTCCCTCTCCCACACTTTGAAAAAAAGAAGAAAAAAAAAAATCAGTACCCATTATAGTTGTTAGTTAAATTAAAAAAAAAGTAATAGAGGTCATTGGGTAGTATCTAACATTTTCTAACAGATCTGTTTGTTGTTTTATAAAAGAAAAGAGCAATTTGCCTGGTTAGATTTAAATTTGTGTCAGTGTTGAAAAAAAGAAACAGAAAATTTATTTAAGATCAAAAGGTGTCTGAGTTCAAAAATGAAAAAGTCTCCTAGCCAAGTTAATTTTCACTCATTATCAAGCAGTGCTTGAACAATAACAAAATTGAAAGTTAGAATCCAGATTTTTGTTTTATTTTTGGCCATTTAGTTAAATTTCATCCAAGACTTTGCTCATCTTGATGAAAAGATAAGTCAACAATTAAGAGAAGAAAAAAAAATATATTTTGTCTATAGCTGACTAACTAAATTGGCCACCAGATGAATTCATATCTTTCCAATGAGAACCAAAATAGACAAGTGTATTTACCTGCATCTTTCAGATATATCAAATATTTTGATGGTGGATAAAAGTCAGGGGTTAAATAAATGACATTAATGTGTGCAAGTAAAACATGAACCCTGTATTCAACACAAAAGGGGGATTAGTTTATCAAGTGATCCAATTGTCCAAGATTATGAAGACATCTAAATCATGTGCTGGTACTTAAAATTTGGTTTTATTAGTATTTTATCCCATTATTTTATAAAAGTACCAATTAAACTAGTGATTATCAAGAAAGCGAATTAAAAAAAAAAAAGCAAAAAACATTGCTTCCATTGCAACAATTTAAAATAAAGCTTTATATGATGAGATTAGAAATAGAAGAAGGTTGATGACTTGGAAAGTAGAATATTATTATTCGTTCATCTTCCCATAAACTAAAAACAGCTTTCCGAACAAAATTAATACACATGCCAAATGTTCTCAATTGATTGAAATGCAATGAAAATAGCTTGTTCAACCAACATACTGCACACTGGCATCTAACTTCTAATGCCACTTTCATCTTGTTTAATAATAAAAAAACTGTTTTATAGTAATCCATTAGTAATAACATTAATTATAGCCGATTGATACTTACAGAACATATTGAAGGCTTGAGGGGGCAGAGGAAAACAGAGAAATGTACCTAATGAGTTAGTGTATATGGATGGCATAACATAAACAAGGATGGATAGTAAGTAAACAAATATTGCCTAGTACTACAAGAATAGGAAGTTGTAGAGAGCCATTATCAAACATGTTCTGAATCTAAAAGAAAAATTAAAGCCTAACTGAGCCTCAAAGTTTTGAGAATAGGTTTGTTGCTTGTTGCAAGTGCTAATCAATGGAGCTGACATCTGCTCGGTTATAGAAAGTGACTATAAATTTCCCTTAGTGCAGAAAAATGAAACCGAAATATGGTGTATATGAATTCTTACTTAGAAATGTATTTTTTTTACTATGAAAGGCTGCTTCATAGTTCCAAGATGATGTCATTATCAAAAAAGAAGAGGCAGGTAAGGGGATAAAACCTGGAAACAAATATTTTATGATGAACAAACCCTGAAAGCAGTTAAATAACTGTATTGTAATCGTTTTGTGATTTGGGGATGGAGCCCAAGAAAGACAGATGTTTCTTTTTGTTTTTTAAATCAAAAGATCAGTTAAACTCCCAAGTGATTTCTGTTTTGTAAAACTGTAATAACATTTCTTCCTTATAAAAAACTGAAAAACTAAGAAATGGTCTTTTGATATAAAATAGCACATGCCATGATGAAAATGCTGCAGAAATTTGCTTTTGATTGGAAAGTCTCTCTGGTAAGATCTACTTGCCAAGCTGTCCAGTAAGCAGTACCAGCCTTTCCAGATAATGGTAATGATACTGCATAGTGGCCAAAAGACCCTTCTCATTCTGAACATTGTCCTTGCTCGAATAATCAATGTAGTTACCATCCAAAGTGGTCATCTTACCATTGAGTGCATTCAAAATAGCATTGCCAGCACATATGTCCCACTTTTTTATGGCTGTTGTGTGAACATAAGCATTTGACAGTCCTTTCACAACATTCAAGGTTTTGTAACCTGAAAAAGAGAGAACAACCATGTAAGGGAAGGGAACACTTTCTAAATGACATCATATTGCAAAAATAGCTTTGTTTTTATTTATCTAGAGAGAGATGTGTATGTTTTAGAATCAGGCTGAAAAACTGTTTTATTTGCATTGATTGAAATGAAAATCAGTTTGAAGAAATAACTCATTTTTGACATTTGATTACGCCACAATAAATGTAAAATATTCAAACAAGAAATGAAAAGTGACCACATTATTTCTAAATTAGTAAAAACGTTTTTATTTTTCATGTTAACAGTAATTAATTAATGATTTCTTGCATATAAATTCATAAAAGTGAATATTTAAAGAAAAATCATTACAATTTGGAAGAACATCACTTGTACAAATTGTCTACATTATATCTGAGAATCCATCAAAATATTGCTATACTTAGATCTATTTCTAAGTTATCTCTAAAAAAATGTATCTCCTCTTTTTGTCAAACCAGAATCCAATAAACATAAAACATTTACATAACTATATTTTGCTGACAAATATCAATTGTACATAAAAAAATAAAAATGTAGCTGACAAAAGACATAGCAGCAATTACAAAGAAAGTACACACTGCTCACTTCCGATTAATTGGCAAGATGGACAGAGAGCTCAGAGACAGAAAATCCTGAAACACTATCCCCAGCTGGCATCAAAAAATTTTCATTTCTTAGCAAAGGCTTGTTAAGCTAGAAAATTTAGAGAAACATGACTTAAAAACATTAGTTAAATAACAAAAACAAATTATTGACACATACACACAAAATGAGAGAAACATGTACATATATAGTAAAAATCTGGGTTAATCCCACCAGTGACCAATTGATTTGGTATTTGATTTGAAGGTTAACAGCTTTGGTGATTACTTACCAGCTCCACCTGCAGGAATCACTATGGTGTTTTCCCCAAAAGCTTGCTTAAGTATTTCAACTACTGTGCCCCCATGTGATCGTGACACAATGATCTGTGCTGGTTTGTCTTTAGATAATTGTGTCTTTTCTTGCTGCTTCAAATTAGATGAATGTCCATAACTGACCCAGGCCCAATCTAATAAAAAAAAAAAAGAAATAAATTACATTGTAATAGTTTGTTTTTTTTAATAAACAAGCAATTACAGTCAAAGAATTGCCAGGTGAGTTGCTTTCATTGATTTCTTACAACTAAAAAATGGAAAAAACTCATCATAGCTTTATTCTGTCAGTAATGGTTGCATTAATTCCTAACCAGTGATAATGTTTAATTTTTGTAACTTTTCAATGTAGTGAATGACCAGTATTAAACAGAGTGGTAAGGTCAGTGGGCTGTGACATGAAATGCCAAAATGTTGTTACCTCTGATTAAAATACAATCATAATTATTAATTCCCCATTTACTGCCAACAGAGTTTTCTGTATCATTAATATATACTTACGTATCCCAAATTAAAATTTTATTTTCATATCTAAAAACATTTAGAACAAGCATAGAGAGCTTGACAAAACAAAATGGTACCAAATTTATCTTGGTAGCTCAAATAGCAACAAAGTTATGAGCATTCAAAGTTCGTCAGTTTTGCATCTTGAGTGCTATTGGGCCAGAAGCCAATTTCCACAGTGCATAGCTGAAGATGCAGGCTTCTGAATAGTTACAAATCATTAAAAATATAGAGTCATATAGGTAGTCTTAAAGTTAAAGAAATATAATACTTATGGAATCAATAAAAAATGCATTCTTAGAAATGAAATAGTTAAAACATGACACAGAAGGGCACTTTGTTCATTTAAATTTCATTTCAACAATTAAAGCCTTGCAACTTCTTGCTATGATTTATAGCGCAACAGAGATGAAGCCAGTTTTTTTTCAGTAGTACATCAATTAAAAATAAAAACTCATTTACACCATGTAAAAACAGCCAGGAGCACAAAAACAGGTAAAAAGTGTACCATCCTGAACTTGCCATAAAAAAAGTATTCATTGGAGGTACATGCTTGAAACATTGAAATTTTACTAATGAGGAATTCAATAAAACAGTTTTTTTCTCTGTTATATGAATACCTTTTCTCATACATATATCTAATTTTGGAAAATATTTTGAAATTATACCGTTTTTAACTTGTCATAAAATATAGTAATAACTACAAATAACCAATTTTATAGCCAATATTTCTGGAAACTCTATATCCTATCATCACTTAAAAATGGTGTTTTATCCAAGTCTCATTTAAATACAAATGTTGATGCCACTTGTGCAATATCATCCAACAAAGGTTATAAAAATTCATTTTTATCTTTGGTTGAAACTAAAATTTGTAACGAGCATGCACAGAAACGTCCTCGAACTGCATGTGTGTGTTGTCGCTGGGCACACCTTGGAGTACCATAATGGACTCGACCGAGAACTATAAGAAGATGCACGAGTTGTTTGGTGTCTTTTCTTGGGCGACAAAAGCCATTGCAGTCGGTCGTCCATCGGCAACAGTCTCGGGTGCCGTTTTGCTCGTTGGCTGTCGTAAAGTGTTGTGTCGCAAGTAGGCATTCATTTCTGGTTCGCAAGAAGGCGTTCGTTGTTGTGTCGCAAGTAGGCGTTCGTTTTTGTGTTGCAAGAAGTTGTTTTTTTAGTTTTTTTTTCTCGCACAAAATTTTTATTACATCACTGGAGGGAAACGTAATATCAGTGACTTGATCAATGTAAAAGTTGGAGTAATACTGCAACCTATTGGACTTGTAACTGAAGGTCATTTGAAGTGGTCCTTCTTCATAACAAATGCTAGAGTTGTTTCCCTTCATCACACAGTTTTTAACAATCAGAACTTACTGCAAAGAATTTGGGGTCTTCTTCAGCCTGTTTCCCCCACTTAAAAGAAAACTATTTCTCAGGGTACTGAGTTCATCATCCATTGAAGAGAAGATCAAAAAGTAAATTTTATTAATCAGCCAGGTAGGGGTTTCTAGCATGGAAAGCACTAATACATAAAAAAAAGAAAGAAAAAGGAACAGATACTGGCTTAGAAAAAAAAAAGATGTTATGCTTATTATTTTCCATAACACTGTTATGATAATGGCTTAAGGAAGGAAAAAAAATTGTTTTCAAAAGTTGAAGAACAAGAAAATGTTACAATTTCATTTTAACCTCCAAAATATGACCTAATCCTTAAAATTAGTAAACAAATAATTATTAAGAAAAAGAAACTGATCACATTTTGAAAATTACCAAATTACATTTCGATTTTTTATGAACTCATGCACCACCAAAGTTAAGCTTAATCAGTTTATTTTATTATTTTATTAAATGTATCATTTTTTTGAAAGGAAAATATAAATAGATATTCAATTTAATCCTCAAATCCCAAGAATTAGAAATACTGCCAGCCACAAATGCAAATGAAACAAATTACCATTAAAAGGTAATTTAACCACTTTTTTAAAAATTGTATTTTAATTTTTTATAGACAAACGTGAGTGCATAATTTAAAGAACTAAGAATATACCCAGTTTACATATTTATAATTTTTATTTTATATGAATTCTGTTTAATTTATTTTATAAGGAAATGCATACAAACAACAGTTGAGGAGAAAGTGACTCTAGGGTGACAGTTTGGACTAAATACAATGAATAAGTACTTTATATAGTTTTAAAATGAATTATTAAAGAAAATATAAGAAAAAGATCTAAACTCTGTAATATTCATTGATGAAACAAGTCTAATTTAAAATTGGGTTCAGCTAGAAATATTCATTTACACAATCAGCAATACAAATTTCAGTGCATCAGACCAAAAGTTTGTTTTTTTTAACCAAAATGAATACAGATACACTCTTTTTGATTTGTGTGCACCTTGAGTTGTATGAGCACAGAGATATGAAACCAATTGATTATTAAAGACAAGACATTGCTCCACAAGAATGTGCAATTTTCATTTTTTTTTTAATGTTTAATTACTATGGTATTTTATAAGTTTTCAAATTATAAATTTTTTTTGTGAAAGACAAACTCAAACCTACCAAAATGACGAGCGTCCTTTTTTTCTTTAAGATGGTACTATTTTGGTTTGTGTAAAAAGATAACTTAAAGTACAAGTTTTAAAAACACCATTATAAAATTGTCAATTTGCCAAAAATGTGGAAAAAGTGCTAGCCGTCTATGAAATAGTGACATAATTTAAAAAGACATAGAATAAAAATTAATCATCACATATAGGAAAGAATTGTATCTTAAGAAAGAGAAAAGGTAAAATTTTGTTTACATACTAATTTTATCAAAATCACATCAAAAAGAAACAATCTATCAGCAGTTAAAATAGAAGGAAATTTTACTATTTTGATACATCTCACACTGTAAACTAAGACAGTTTGGGATAGTACCTAATTAGATAGAATTAAAGCTTACAATAATTGTTTAATGAATTCTACCTAGGATATCATGGGTTACATAAATAACTAATGTTAAAAATAATTTACATTGCCTTTGATATATATTAAAACCATTGATAGCATTAATTTAATTTGACAAGCATATCTACACTGATAGAAAATAAAATTATAACAACCTGAATATGTATTTCAATTTTCTCAACATTTAATGTGCAGGTAATATAAATGATCACATATACAGGTCAATACATATACAATTTCATAAATAATAATTGCATCAATAGTACTTAGATTTTATACCCATACATTGATACCCTGCAATACATTATTCCACACCAATTGCAGCTGAAGAGTTGTAACTGGTCTAACTGAATGAGTCAGGCATTGTTTCAAACCTATTCAATAAGGGACAGGTCTGGCAATTGTGTTAGCCTGGAAAGTTATCAAACATTTTACAGATCATGTTGAGCAGCATAGGCATCATATGGGCAGGCATTATTCTGCTGGAACAACACACAGCCTTCTTGTTACAGGCTGAACAATGTTCTCCACATAATGACACTATTCAGCATTCTCCCAACAAATATCAAAGGTGAGTAAAAATTATTAACTTATGGCACCCCATACCTTGATCTTAGAAGTTAGCCTTGTGCGTTGCAGGTAATACATTCTGAAAAAGTCACTCTAGATGTATTTCATGCATACAAACCACCACTTTTTTATAAAGGTAGAACCTGTGATCATTATTACATAGTATCATTCAATCTTCCAGGTGACCTTCACAATACAAATGGAGCTTTATGTCATGATGTTGGGGCATAAGTTTGGCGAGAGGCACATATGCATGTAGTCTTGACATTGTACACTAAATGCATGAAACAATCCAATTCTCAGGGGGGTTTTATCATTAAAAAATTAAATTTTGATCTGAAAAAGTGATAAATTGAAATGAATGCTTAAAAAAGAGTCTTAACATTTACAAAGAGATTAACAAGCAATTTTTTCTGCTTGTTGGAATGCAGGTTTAAATAGATAAAAAAATGGATATGCAAACTTGTAACTCTTAATCTTAATCAGATATATAAAAACAAACTAAAAAATTAATTGTTTTGTACATTTAGTGTACCAAGTATCAACAAAAATTTGTTAACCGTTAACATCATTTGTTGCATATTTTTATATTATTTTATCTTGTCATTAATTGACACTTTTTAAATAATTATTTTCATTATGTTACTTTTTCATATAAAATCTATTTGTTGTATAATAAAAATGTAAACAAAACCCAAAATAAGGTTATTTATTTTCCATTGAATTGGTCAACATTTAAACATGAATAACACAAATTCTGTTGATTTTATGAACACAGTTATTATGTGAATATTAATAAGCATTCAAAGAGCTCTCTAAAGATATACAACTTGACCATATTGGGAGATATGAGAATGTTAGCATATAGTGGCAAATACTAAAATCCACCATTTTGAATTTGGCCCAACTCTGTAAAATCCTTGTAACTCAGGCCACAGTCAAAGTCCACCACAAAATTTTGTACATATCTTGCCATAAGGCAAATAAATTTGTTGTCAAATTTTAAAAAAAATAATTAAAGATACACTTTTTGAGAAATTAAAGGTCAAAGGTTAAGGTCAAATTATCTTATTTGAACTTTAAACAAAAATAAATAGATCACCTTTAAGACCTATCCAAGAATTTTAAAATGGTATATAATTTAGGTTTGTGGGTGAACAAAACAACTAAGATATTGATATTTAAACTTTGTGACTATTTTCCAAAATTCACCTTTTTTTGGCATGGGTCAAAGGGTCATATCTTGGGAAACATTTGACCTAGAAATGTAAAATAGGCACTATTCAATTTCTATCATGAAGCTCTATAAGTGTACCAAATTTAAAAGAAATCTGTGTCTGTTATGGTCAGACCCTTGTTGATTAGATATGGAATGACTCTTTTGGTAGGAATCCCATTTTCAGAGTAACAATGATTTTTGCAAATACTCTTCCCAATATCAAATACTTACAGTAACTCTTCTGACAACTGCATAACAAAAGCATTTTTTGATTTTCACTATATTAAGCAAAGTTGAGATAAATGCAGAATTGAAATAACCAAATTTCAAGTGGCAAAGCTTTTCTTAATGAACAGACAGGCAAGTGTTTTAGTATTTGATGCTTATGTCAAGATCATTTTATTTTATATGGTGGCAAAAAAAATAGCAAAATATCACAATATAGCTTTATCTGAAATGACTGCTGTTTGTTATCAGAACCTGTTCACTATAACTGTGATAGATTAAGCACTACTGAGTATTTATAGACTGAGACAACAAATCATTGATAGCATAAAAACAAAAATGCAGAATCAATAGAAAAACTCACAAGTTTCATTATCAAATGGATTATGGATAACTCCAATAGTGGGATCGCCATTCACTGCTACACACACCATTGTCGTCACGTACTGGCGAAGATCCTCTGAAAGAGGCAGAAATCAGAAATGAACAAAACAAACCATTTCAACAAATTTCAATATTTATAAATATACTTTGCCATTAAAAATGAAGATCAATTTGAATTGGGTATCATTTCTATTGCTAAACCTTGAACAATCCTCTGCCTCTGACAACAAAAGATTTCTAACATGCATCCTTTTTCATCAAATGAAAACAGCTACTAGATAAAAATCTTCATGTGTGTATAAAATGGCATGAATCAACCTGCTTCTCAGTCATACAAATACTGGTTGAAAAAAGAAAAAAAAGCTTCATTAATTTGATGTGACATGATTGGAAGTGATCCACACTTACAGGGTAAATAGAGTGCCAAGGAGGCTTGATAAGGAGTTAAATGTAAAAAAAGGTCCAGTTTTATGGTATGAAATGAGGAGAAAAAGCATAAGAGAAAGCTTAATAGCATTCAATGATTACTAAAATTAAATGTGGAAAAAGAATTAAGAAAGTTAATTAGTTTCAGGTTTAGATTTAGGTGTTCTTAAAGATATTAATTTGGTGATAACTTAAATCAGTATATCTGGGTATAATCCTGTACCAACCTGCTACACTTGTGAAATCAGGTGAAAATAATACAATGAATTACTTCATAATGGTTAAAAAAAAAAATTCATCACTAACAAACCTTAAGATTAAATTCTTTACATAAAGACCTGTTTATCCAATTTTTGTGATCTGTAGAGCAGAATAATTTTGAAAAAAAAATTACTTTTCTAAAGTGAGTGGGTGGGTGTTGGGTAAATCATTTATGAAAAGCTAATAAACCATGTAGTTGTTTACATACAGATTTTCAGAGGTCTTATAGAAAGAATAGTTTTCGAGTAGCAGGTTATCAGAACTTGGTCAAGTAGTTCGCTGGCCATGTGCTTTCCAAAATGTAAATTAAAGGTCAAATCAGACCAATACATCATTGGTGGCAAGCCATTAGGCTTAATTACATATATAGAGTTGCAGGAGACACTTTAAGTATGTATCCTAAATTAAAATTTTTATTTTCAGTATATCTAAAAACCTTTAATACAGGCATAGAGATCTTAAACCATAAAAAATTGCACTAAATTTATCTTGGTAGCTCAATTAGCAAATGTTACATGACCATTCAAAGTTGATAAAGCTTTATCTTGTGCTGTTGGACAAAATGCCAATTTTAACAATGTCTAAATGAAGTTGCAAGCTTCAAACAAGTTAAAATAATTATAAATGTAATGTCGTTTACATAGACTTGAAGTATAAAAAAAAAATAATTAAGATAATGCTAATGAAATCAATATTTCTTAGATCAGACCAGCCTAAACATTGGGAAAATTTCAATCTCAAAAACAAAATTGTAAAAATATGACACAAGGTCAAATTGGTCATATAAATTTCATATTAACAGTTAATGCCTTGCAACTTCTTTCTATATTTCATAGTGCAAAATCTATATTTTTTTTAGTAATCACTCAAAAAAGAAAAAAAACTATATAAAAACAGCCAGAAGTGCAATTTGGAATTAGAGCAAAAACAGGTCAAGAATACCATATATGTTATAAAAGAAAATTTCTTGAAATTTCAGAAAATTAAATAAGGAGGTAACAAAAAAAAAAAAAATTTTTTTACCAAGATTTTTTAAAAAGGAAACATTTCTAAAATAATTTCATTTATTTGTGAATAAATCCTGAAAGTTTCATTAAAATCCAACAATTATCTGATTTTTGCAAGAATTTCTAAATATGTTTTTCACTGCAAAAAGATGCTCAGATTCCCATACTAATTTATGGTCACCCATACAAGAAAAACAAAATTTTAACCAAAATTTCAAAGAATCTAAAAAGGATTAAAAAATATAATTTAATAATAAAATCTTTGGTTTTTCTTCTTAATGATTTGATGATAAAATTTTGTTTTTATTAAGTTTTGGGTATTTTTTTCACCATGTATGCTCATTTTTTTAGTGAAACTTTGGAGGTAACTAGTTATCATAACTTCGTATTGTAGGGTTATTGTTATAACACACACACTAGTACTTGATATAACGTAATTCATCAAGTATTCTCTATATGTAATGTTTAGGCTACTGCTGTATGCCTGTATTGTTAGTATGAAGAGTGACTCCAATACGACTACTCATGACCTTATACCATGGAACTCTTTATGGTGTTGGATGAGTCCAAAGAGTCACCAGGGATGTACTCTTTACTTCACAACATACGCACTTTTGAGATTACTACTTATTTTTAAAATTTTTTTTTTTATTTAGTATTAGCATTTTCCCCTCCTCTTTCTGGAGAGCTCAACAACATACTTTGTACCCTTTTCTTTTCCTTGAACTTGTCCTTACAGGTTCCCTGATTTGTTTTGGTGCTGACAAATCAAAAATGTTGTACTGCATTTTAACCAATTCTTCAGGTCTTTCATCAATCAATTTTTTCTTCAGCTGATTTTGGGGTCTTATGATGAACTTTTTTCTGCCATTCATCCTTTAAAAAATTTCTTCTGGACTTCGTAATGAATAGTTCTGTTTTTCAAGACAACTATTTAATCCTGTTGAGAAATCCATGTAAACACAATTTTTTTTTTTCTCCTTTATATACACTGCTGGTGCACCTCATTTTGGATGATTTATTTTCTGTAATAAACCATTTCTTTCTAATCTGTCCAACTCTTTATTTACTTGTTCTAATGCTGCAAATGGTACACTCTGTTTTGGTTTAAAAATGTGTGTCAAACCTTTTTTCACTTGGAAATTTGCCTTGAATTCTGAATGCTGACCCAGTTCATTTGACAGAACATCAGGAAAACATTTTTTATTCTTCCTTAAGATTTTCACTCAGATTTTTTAAATTGGTCACTTGTTCACTTACATTTTTACAATAAAATCCCATAGTTTGAATAGTTCCATCCAGCCTGTACCAAATAGATTCATTACATTTCTTAGAACATAAGCTTTTTTTTTTTTATCTGCTTATTTTGAAAATAAACATTACATGTTCATTCTCCTCCACCCCACAAATAATTTCTTGCCAGAAACTGAAGTTGCAACTGCGTAAGTTCTTTTTAATAAAGGTTTTCCAATTTTTTTCATTTATGTTGTGTCGGAAACCTACCACCCCTCTTGAAGATGAACTTGTCTGCGTCTGTGAACAAAGACTTTAAATAGTGGCATGTCAGTTGACATGGGGAAGACAGACAGAGAAGTTCTTTGCTGAGCTAGTTATTGACTACTCGATTTCTGTACCTTTTTACCAACCTATTAAAACCCTTTTTATTGTTATGTGTTATTTGGCGTTTGTCTCTACTAACCCCAAATCAACATCATAACAATTTATTATTGAAATGGCACTACCAGTATATAGTAACATTTTTACTCCCACATTATTGATTTTCATGTTAACAAATTTTCTTTTGTTTTGTGTGTATTTTTTCCATCACAATAATCTGCAAAAATTTTTTCTTGGTTTATTTCTGCAGTGTGATTTGATTTTTACCACAGTTATAGCATTCTGCATTTTTTCTATGTAATTACCCACATCTGAAATAAGGTTTTATATTCCTTTTGGTGCATTTTTCCTTAACTTTTACCAATGCACATTCTTTATTCTGAAGTTTTTCAGAATCATGCTTCAGCAATCATCCACTATTTCCTGTAGTGTTGTTATTATTATGTTCAATCTTTGCTAAAATTTTTGTTTGCACTTCAACATCTTTTTCTACTTTTAGACCTTGCACAAAAATTAATTCCTTGAACATATCTGGAGTCATTTCCTTTAGTTTAAATTGTTCACATTCTCTGTTGATGGTACCTGCCTACGTGAAAAAAATCTTCCTTTTTTTTTTTTTTAAAATTAAATTCATGCATGGAACAGAGAGCACTTGTCACTAAATATTTTTGTCAGAATGTGTACTGTGTCTTCAAACCCTATTTTACTTGGTTTTCTTGGTAAAATATAATTGCAGTACTTTTTGTACTCTATTGGCACTATTTTTCTTAACAACAACCTGGTTTTTTATCATCTTCCCAGCTACTGTATTCCTTATTAAATATTTCTTAATATCTGAAAATACACAGCAAAAGTCATCCGGTCATCAGAATTGTATATGAATTCTGATACAGTATTTTGCACTGTGATAGCATGAGAGACATTGAAACATTTTTCTTCAAAACCACTTCCAACAACTCGTTTTTGCAACTGTAGCATCTGTTGAGTATTTCGTTGTTGAACTTCAACTGTTGAAGCTAAAAAATTCTTCACATGTGCAATTATACTTGGTATAACATAATTCGCCAAATATTCTCTATATGTAATGCCTAGGCTATCACTATATGCCTGTATTGTTAGCTTGAAAACTGACTCCAATATAACTACCCCTAACTTCATACTATGGAACTCTTTATAGTATTGGACAAGTTCAAAATATCACCAGGGGTATACTCTTTACTCCACAACACTAGTTTTAAGAATTGAAAAATATCAAGTTTAATACCATTTTTGAGTGTTAACATTAAAAGAATAGTGGTTATGACAGGTGATGAGTTACTGTGCGTAAATAAATGTTATTTTATCTATGTTTTAAAGAAAAAAAAAAAAAAAAAAACAAAAAGATTTTTTTTTTTAAATACAAAAACCAGTCAATTATTCCTTACTTTAAAAAAAAAAAAAAAAAAAAAAAAAAAAAAATTTTGGGTTAAGAGATTTTTAAATTTATTATTTTCATCAAAAATGGAGATTTGATGACTGACTGTGGCAAATAAATAACATTGTCTTTTTCCTTTTATAAACTAGCTTTAGGCTGTTATCATTCAAATAAAAACAATTTAACTTCAAAGGAAATATTGAAATTATACAAAATGCATTTTATAGTTTTCTTCAGTAAGTTTGTCGCGACACTTTATAAAGGACAATTAAAAATTCTTGAGTTGTGTTGGATATGAAACCGATTATTAAAGAGGAGACATTGCTCTCCAAGGAGATAGAAATTTCATTTTTTTTTACTTGTTGTATTTCTCTGGTATTTTATTTACTAAAGTTTTGAACTTAAAAATTGTTTGTCAAAAGCAACTTGAAACAAGAATAACCATGTCATGTACTTCTGATGGAAATATACTATTATCAGATTTCTCAGAAATAGACAAGTAAAAGAGGAAAGAAAAACTCTGGAACTGTGCTGACATTTTAAGAAAGAAAACTTTGCCAAAGTTTAACATATGTACCTGCAGTAAAAAAAAAAAAAAAAAAAAAAAAAGTTGTCAAAAGGACAATTTTTCTCTTGACGTTACTGTGGTAGTATACAGTAATAGTAAGTTGTGCCATTTAGAATTTTAATAAAACCCAAACACATGAAACTGGAACTATGTATTTTTTTTCCTGAGAATTGACAACAAAAGACAAAAGAATGAAACTATTTTATTAAAGTGTTTATTTACAAGAATAATTTTATATTTACCAGTTTATAAAAATGTGAACCAACTACAATGCAACATTTACAATATCATAAAGGAATAACCAAGAAAACAATTTTTTCATTCATAAATTTATAAAAATGTGAACAAGAGATGAAGAAAATTTAAATAAACACATGAGTAAGTGTAATTATAAATTTTGAGAAAAAAAAAAAAAAAAAAAAAAAAAAAAAAAAAAAAATTTATTTCTTACATATGCTCTGACCACAGAAATTCACTAAAATATTTTGTGAGCATCTGGATTTATGTTTTAATTTTGAGAATTGACAACAAAAATATTAAAGTCTACTTATTTATAAAAACAATGTTTAATACTTTTGTTGTGTATTCTCAACAGAAAAAGACAATACATAAATGTAGTTTCATATATCTGAGGTTCATTAAGATTCTAAAAATAACTTTTTAAAACAGAGAGTACACAGTGATAGTGGTGTCAAGAGAAAAAGTGTCCTTTTGACACATTATTTTTTTTGTGGTTATGTATATTAAAACTTTGTCAAACTATCTTCTTCCAATGGTATTGGATTGGTAAAAAAAAAAAAAAAATAAAATAAAGGAAAAAGTTATGCTATTGTTAATTTTTGAAGAAAGACCTGTGACTAGGAAGAAGTTAAAAACTTTCTACAATATAAACTCTCTAAAGGCAAACAAACAAATGTCTGATTGAACAGGGCAAATTGGTTGTTCATGAAAAGGAACCTTGAGAAATTCCAAAGAACTTTGATGACAAGTGCAATAACAATTCCCAGTAATATTAATGATAAATTCTTTAATCAAATGTGAAAGGACTTTGTTTAAATATTAGAAGCTCAGCTGTTGCAATTGGTATGGAAAGCTTAAACATCTGCTACAAAAGGAGAAAAAATAATTAATAGCATGTAGTTAAACAGCTGTTCAAAATTTAGTTTGTGAACTGAAGAATGATAGAAATAAACATTCAGACGATAATGAAAGTTTACTCCCACGATAAATACAAATGTGGGTCAATGCTCGAAGGTCAACAAATTGAAAAATGGTCATTTTCTCAATTTTCCATAATTATAAAAATTTTTTTACATCAGATTCTGAAATAAAAAATTAAGCTATGTACATTAATAACACATTGTCATGTAGACAAAAAAAGTCAAAGCCATCAACCACAAGAAAAATCTTTTCATGAGTTACAATAACTGTTAAAATAACTTAAGAGAAATAGCATAAAACTATTATGAAAGGAGGAAATAAAAATATTTTTACAATATGTTTATATTCAAATATGAAATATTCAAAGTTAGGAAAACAAAAGTCAGTGAAATTAGAAAAGCAAATAGAATGTAAATGAAAAGATATAAAAATCAAATGACAAGATAGTTGAAGAATGCAGAGACTGTTGATTAGCACTAATTTTTATGAGGAGAAAATATTCCCCTTCAGAGAAGAAACAAAGTGAAATATATATTGATCCTAAGAGCATTAAGAAAAACTGTTGTAGTGAACACAAGATATTTACCTGGAAATTAGTGGCTATTTGTTGCCCCAAAACACTGATACTTGCCTCTTATTAAGATTATCTTCAAGAATTATTCATGATTAACAAAATTCATAGTAAAATTGAGTATTTTGGATGATAAAAACTTCTACAATAAATAGTGCACTGAATAAATCGGTTTAAATTCTGTTTTCCCTGATAATTTGTTCTGGTAGGAAAGGCATTGTTATGATCCATTGGAAAGGTGATAGAAATTATGTAGCACTGGAATCATCATTTCTTCAGCTCAATGGCAAAAACAACAAAGAAGAATGAATCTTCAAATTAAAAAAAACACATTTTAAATCAACAGTTTAATGTAAATATTAAGTGGTTTATGTTCAACCTTCATAATGAACATGGAGATTGGAAATACTCTTTACTACAAGCCTCAAATACCCAATGTTTTAATATGATAATCATTTATATTATCAAATTTATGAGACCTCTTGGTCTTCTGGTCTCAGACAAATCATTGTACAACTCTAATGTTATAAGCAAGTGATTTGTTGCAATGACAAGACTTGAGCTTGTCAAGTTGCCTCTTCAAAGGAATTCAAGTCTACCATGTAAACTGGAAGTAGTTAATTCATACACAAGCCACACAAATGAGGTAAATATTTAACACAATGATTATATAAATGCTATTACTAACAAGTTTGCCATGTTGCTTGCAATATCCAAGCTTTAGAATTGAACCAATTATATTGCTTTTAATTGTTGCTGCTTGATAAAATTTATCTTGTTCTCTAGCTTTATGTAAACCAGTTCAGTGGTAAAAGGTGAAAAGTCACAGCCAAATTGCAACTAATTACAATCAAATCCTTGACCTATTCAAAAGTTTTAAGGCTGGAAAAAATAAGGTGATGTTCTGAATATTGTTTATGTTGACAATGGCTCAACATTAACAAAACCACTTACCTGTATATTCTTTTGTTGCATCTAAAGGATCTATCCAGACAACAATCTGACTGACTGGGATTAACTGATCTGTTTTAATCTTAGTGTTCACAACTTCCTCATGTTTGTTTGCATCAGGTACATTATGTAAATCTACAGGTTTTGTTTCATGTTCTTCTGATATCACCTGGAAAAAAAAAGAAAAAGAATTCACTGTTGTCACTTTAGTAAAAAAAAAAAAAAAGGAAAAGAAATCATGATCTAAACCTAGACATCAAACCTGAAAAGTTGATGTCACACATTCAGCAGATCTCAAAATCATGTCATTGTTTACAGTTGGCGTCATCCTTCTTAAGTATTCTAAATTAAATAAAACTGTTTTTAAAATCATTTCATCTTTTTCATTTCTCCCACTATTTTTGGTGCTATTAAAGTTATTGTAACTAGAAAGTGGGTGAGTAGAGAGAGGAAATGTGCATGTGCCTAAACAATGTGAGGCCATAACTTGATTCAGCCGCAAATGCAAAGATAACATTTATACAAATGTATATTCTTTTTCTTGTAATAAATGAGTGACCTTCATCTAGGGTGGCAGGGTGCATCTTTTTTCTTTTATAAGTCAATTCTTCAAAAGATTGTTTTAAAAACCTGACTGACAATCTTTTAGTAGCTGAAAAATGGGTAGAGGATTTGTTGGTCAAATACAGAAGATATAGTAGGGGCAAGAAAGTTTCCATTTTGATTCTTAATTTTATCAAATTATTAAGATGGCCCATTTATAGCACTAGTCTAATGCTGACATCTCTAATCATAATAATAGTAATTTCAGCTAAAGGGAAGAAGCCAGAAAAGCAAGCATGGTGCTCACATTTGAGCTTTCTGTTGTGGGACTATTAACAGGATGACAAGCCATGGTTTTAACCAAGACTCAACCAAGATAGCTTTAGCCAAAATATGATGAAAAACATGTTCAGTTTAAATAAAAACAGATAAAGGAAATCCTTTTAAAATAATTCAGTACTACAGAATTTTTAAAAAAATATAAGGCAGCTTCTTTTTCAACCACATTAAAGGAAAAAAAGTCTTAACTGTAAAAATTGGATATTTTTTTTTAATCATTTTACCCCAAGCAAGGAAGGAGTGCCACTAGTATGCAGGGGGGGGGGTTACAGAAAGTGAAATATATCTTAATTGTTATGATCACAATCAAAATTTTAAATGTTTTTTGAAAGTATTTCAGAATTTTTAAATTCTGCAAATCAATGAAATAAATTCTTTCTTTAAAATCTTAAATAATTTATCCAAGAGAAATAAAATACAGAGTGAATTTTCTACAAGTTGTTTCTCAGAAGCAGGGAAGTGGGAATTAGGGAATAACATATAATCACATCTTGCAAGCAAACCTAGTTAAACCCTTTTCCATATTCTTCAAATCATAACAGATTTTCATTAAAGATAAATACTTTTCAAAGTTTACAGAGGTATTTCTGCTTTTATAGAATAAATAAAGAAGAGTTAAATAAGGGTTCAAAAAGAAATATTTGGTCCTTTTGAAAAGCAGCCCCTCACTATGTAAGCAAGATAGTTTCAAAGTCTTTCATCTGATCATTAGAAACTTATCGTCTTGAATATTTGAAATAAAACAAAAAAAATCTATGTTTTAGACACAAAAAAAAGTCAGTATTTTCTTTTAAATAATATTTTTCACAAAGTCTTATAAAAGTATATTGTACAAATACCTAAAAGAAATCTGAAAATATTTTATTTCTGAAAAAATTTCAATATAACACATTAAGTGAGTCTGATGAGTATGAAATAAAACTTGGAGAAATTAAGAGGGAAATGTAATGGTAAATAAAAGACTGTAACATGATAATCAGCATTGAAAAGAATGAAGCTTGCACATAATAGAAAAAACATTTTCCTCCAACAAAATCATTTATTTTAGGGACAGAAGAATGGCATTGAAATAATGCTAAACATGATTTTGTTATAGCAACCATTTGCCAAAAGTTTTAACTTTTGACATGTAAAGAATCCTATGATTCAAACATCGGATTTAATACTGGTGATATCCTACTTGCTTTTTATTTTGTACACAGCATTGTTAAGAGACAGAAACATGATTTTTATTGTAATTCAGTGTATTAATAATAGTAAATATTTTTGATATCACAAATGTGCTTCCTAAACTATCTTCATATCAGCTTGGTAATTGGTCCTAAGTTCAGTAATAACTGTAAGGATGCTCTTGCAAGAGATCTTAATTGTCAATGAATCCATGTCAAACTGATTCACAAATGATCATAAAATTGTACCAATAACAGTTCTACCAAAATATCTAGAATATAGTCAGGCACTTTGGCAAGAAGTACCAAATGAGAGGCAGGTGAGACTGAACATCTCTTGCTTTAGAGGCACACCTAAGCAGGACCTTATTTCTAATTTATACACTTTGTACAGAGAAAAGAAATACCCTATTATCAGTATTAGAAATTGTTAGAATTTGTTTCAAAAGTAATATTAAATTTAGAAGATACACATTTCAAACCAACTGCAGTAAAAGATATAAAATGAGATCTAGATTTAGTTTTTTTTATTAGGTCATTTATAGCTTATGTTGACCTCAAAGGGAGACAAGGATTTTAATAAGTTTTATATTCACCACTTCCTAAAGACATTAATGCAAGTCAGACAATGAAGGATATTTGAGCTGTGCATCCAGGTACATTGACTACCAGCAAGTGTTCAGCACATCATTTAAAAAGAGGGAGGATGATCTTTGTGATAAAACTCAATCTGGGAAATCTTTGAATAATAACCTTGTAAAGGCATCTGCTGAAAGAAATTACTATCAAAGAAACCAGAAATTTAAGAAAAACGCTTAATGTACTATGTCTAAGAATTAGAAAGAAATCTAATTTGGGGCAACATGAACTAACATCAGTGAACTGAGCATAACATTCAACTATTTGCAACAATCTGCTGACAAGGAAGGGAAATCTTTTTTTTTCTGCTTTTGTGTTTGGCATTAACACCAGTATTTGTTTATCTCCAATTAATGGAGATAAACAAATACTGGTGTTAATGCCAAAACACAAAAGCAGTCATCATTTATCATTACTCTATGTCAAATTGACCCTGATATTGAAAGCAGGTCTTTATCCATTATACACCTGGTGGAACATGATTGGTATTGTCTTACTGGATCAATGCAGACCTTTGTTAGTAACCCTAGTATACAAATGGTGCATGACATGAGAAAAAAAAAGTTTTAGTGGCCAAAAACGATGTCATCCTTCAGCAGAATACAAGGCCATAGTCAGTAAAATGAAGCCATGAGAAAATCAATCATTAAATTTCAAAAGTTTTAACTCATTCTCTATACTCACCTAGCACTTTTGAATTATCATCTATTACAATCACTAGAGAATATGTCTTGTTTTCAAGACATTCAGAAATAAAGAAGATATTTATTCAGGCCTCTTTACTTTTTCATCAAAAACCACAAAATATGATAAGAAAGGAATTAAAACATTTTCTTTACATTCACTTGCTGTAAACTAATTATAGCAATTATGTCATTAATAAAATTAACTTCATTATATTTGCATTTATCTAACTCCTCTTTGAAAATGCAATATTACTTTGTGAAGTAAGTGCCTTGTTAATGGTTAGCGAGGCTAATTTGGTTGATTATTATTGAGTAGGGAATTCATTCCTCACTGTGTGCCCCGTACAAAGGTTGACAAATAACTCAACATGATTTGTAAATAAAAAATCAATCAACAACCAAAATTACTTTGTACACAACAATACAAGCAAAAACTTAAAGAAAATAAGCAGAGAGACCTATTTAAAAAAGAAAACTAAAAAGAATCAATTTAAAATGGTAATGAATAATAAAAAAAATTATTTTTGTCTTTCTACATACAAAAAATATTTGTTTCTAACAGCCTTATTTCAATGCTCACGAGTATAGTACTAAATTTTTTTCACGTCAATAATTCTGTACTGCTTAAAGAAAAAGCGAGTAAAACTTGTAACAAGAGGATTTTAATTACAAACATGTTTACTTCCTACCTTGGATATTGGCGTGTTCGCAATGTCAGAACATCTTTATTTCCAAAAATACAACGTAAAAATAAAAATTAGAGACTAAAATGGTGGTTCTTACGAAAATTAAAAACTAAAACATTTTTAACCACATTTTAACTGTGATTCCGTACTGTTGGCTCACAAATAAATTAACAATTCAATTAAAAATAAAACTTCCATTTTCCAGTAAAATACAAAACACAACTGTCTAAACTAAAAAAAAAAAAGCCATCAAAATAAATAAATATTAAAAAAAAAAAAAAAAAAAAGGAGCTCCCCAAACTGTCTTTATGAGAAAATTTTGTAGTTTGGAGCCAAATCACGATAACGATAATTTGATATCTTCTTTTCTAAATGTTTATGAAGCAAACAAATTTTAATTATTTAAAAAGAAAAAAATTAAGTGATATAGTGAACAAAGAAAAAAAAAACTAGTCACAAAAAAAGCAGTCGGCAAAAGAGTTTTGGGGTGGGTGACAACCAAGGATAATTCCTCGTTACTTCGTAAAAGTGATGAGGAGGTTGTGATTAGGAAATTTCTTTTAAATTAAAAATGCAATTTAAAAAAAAGCAATCAAACAAGTATGCAACTGATTCGAGTGATTCTTATCCTATGGTTCATCGACGTCTGGCATCAGTTTTTCCAACCAATTTTTCATAATTTTTTTTTTTTGGCGGGGGGTAACAGAGAAAAAAAAAAAAAAAAAAAAAAAAAATTAAAAAATTACTGTGACTTTCAAAAAAATAAACATATTTTAAATAATTTCAATCATTTGTGAATAGTTTCTGAAAGTTTCATTAAAATCTGACATTTTTTTTTATTTTTGCAAGATTTTCCAAATTAATGTTTGTCACTACAAAAAATGAGCTACTGCTAACTAAAATTTGCTATAGTTCTCCTGACGCAAAAAGGAAACAAGATTTTTTAATCAAGTTAGAATTTTCTAAAATGGAGGGGGAAAAAAATTTAATAAAATAATCAAAAAATACCTTGGTCTTTTTTCTTAAACTTTTTAACGGTAAAACTTTGTTTTCATCAAGTCGCGGCCGTTTTTGTCATGCTCTGCTCTTTTTTTTAGCGATTTCGTAGAGATCCCTATATAAATCGGGCAGCCTTCTCGCTGATACCTAAGTGCTCGAAGAATTATACTAGGGATCTGGATGTGTTTGAGGACTGGTGTATTTTTTCAATGATTCTCCCAAAAATTGCGATGAGTGTGCTGTATCGGCTTGGTACTAAAATTAACAATGTGTTGCATATCTTTGTGAAATAGAAGCAAATAAATAATTTTGCTGATTTTTAAAGAAATTAATTTTCAAGCTTTCAACATAGTCTTTTCTAAATGTAGAAAGAAAGACATATTTTAAAGTAAGTAATTAGTAAAGTAAACGAAAAAGAAAAAAGCCGCAAAAAGTCATTGAGTGTCAGTATCAACAGTCAATGTTCTGTTTGTTTATTGATTCATTATACGTGCACACACGACATTGAAATCAAGCTTTATTTGAAGACTGAAAAATGTACTGACATTTAATCATAAAAGTAAAACTTACTAAAAAAAAAAAATGGGAAAATTTCAGAGCTTCTAAAAAAGTCAATCATGATAAAACATTTAAACTTAAAATTTTAAAAAGCAGACAAACTAGATTGAATTTTTTTTTCTCGTTTTAATCAAGAAAATGATTCAGAATGGTGCGATAATTTTTTGCATTTTATAATCGTTATATTATCATTTTGTGATAGGGAAATATTATTCGATAAAAAAAACTGGCTGTTAATTTTATTCTTAAGAGAAGAGAAAAAGGACACCGGTCTGTTTAAAAAGTAGTTAAAGAATCTTTGGTTTTTCTTAGTAAACATTGACTAAAAAGAAAAGATAACTGCCGACAAAATAAGTGCACGGTAGTCAATCAACAAACACTTTGTCATATATGATGCTTACTTTAATTTCCGGGAATGCTTTGGCCATTCCATAAAGAATTTCCCGATGTGATTCCATATCACCTCGAGTTTTTAATTCCTCTGCTCCTTCCTTCGTAATGCTTTTCACTTTAACACCGAGCGTGTTTTCTTCCCGAACTTCTCTCACTCTCTTGCCTCCACGCCGGGCCAGTTCGATACTGACAGATAGTAATTCCTTCATGCTAACCCTTTCCTCCTTTCTGAACATGTTAGGCAAGCCGAAATTGTATATAAACCCACATGCCACGCACAGTACCAAAAAAACTGCCCCGATAGGGTTAAGACGTATGTTGACAGGAGCCATTTTGTTCGACGATGACAATACACAAGCAACAAAAAGATTTGGCGGCTTTTAGTTTCGTATTTTAGTAGATAATTAAAGAAAATTATCAAACATACATCCACAAAATAAAAATTAAAACAGTCGATATAATAAAGGTATTTTTTCCTTTCGGACTTTTCGAAATAATTAAATACTAAGTAAAATCTTCATCCTAATGAAAAATTCGAATGTGTCTCTATGAACCAAAGCATTTATTTCTATTTTGACATTTTTTTATTTTTTTAAAGGGTTTTTTTTACTTTTCTCATTCATTTATTTCATTTACGAAAAAGTAAAAACCGACCAGGAATTCGTAAACTCCTTTCTTTTCTCCCAAGAGAATCGAAGAACTTATGAAAGTTGATAATAAATGTTTCAAATGACAATTCTTAAGTTTCAATCATAAAATAATGGCCAATATCTTGAAAAAATATTTTTTAGATTGCAAAAGTTGAGATGAAATAAATAAACTAAATAAATAAAAGAAAAGAACTTTGACATTTCCAAATTCAGACGAAAAGTTTTTTCTTCAAGGTCACAGAGAACTAATATTTTTGAATATATGGAGATGCCTTTAGGTAGCTCATCGTGGATTAAATGGTTAACGAACTAGTCTTGCAGATAATTAAATTAATATTGTCGTTAACTTGATTCTCGTTTTGGTGCCCCATACTACATCCTTGTGTCACACTAAGATAATCTTAGTAAATATTGAATATATATTGTATGACAACCAAAGAAAGTGTGTCTTTTTTATGCCTGTCTGCATAGTGTGTGTCTGTAGTGAGGGCGAAATAATATAACTACCTTCATCCAATCACTTCAAATTTGGAAGTGAGGAAGAAGGAGGAAAGAAATTCACGAGCCCATGTGGATTATTCTTGGACCAATGAAAACTTTGCCTTCACAGAAATTAGCCGGTGAGCCAAGAAGAAGCAACAAAAGTAGTGAGCCTACGCGAAATTCTTTTCGATATAAAATAAGGAGAAAAATTAATCAGAAGAGTGTCTGAAATCATGTGAAAGGTTTCATTTCAGTTCCTCGCGACCAGTGTTGAAGTACTCGCTAGTGTAAAATTACATGCAAATTATATTTTAGCATTCTGCTATCACTTTCTTTCGACGTCAATTTTTGTACAAACTAAACAACAAAGTGGATCACAGAGCCTTGATATTTCTCTGACTCCTGATTGGTCAATTAATGCTAATATCACGCTTTCGTCTACGTCTGCACGGTTAAAATTAATTTACAGCCAAAAATCTGTCTATGCGTTTCGAACCTATCACGTGACATACAACATTATAAATACTTAGCGACATCTTCAACTCTTTCTGTTTCCTCTATTTTTTTCAGAACCACAACAATGTAGTTCAGTGAAGAGCCCGCATCTGTCCCTAATGTGAAGACGCTATGACACACGCACACACGCGCACACACATACGTACGAACATTGCACATCTCTTAACACATCTTATTCACTCCTTCAACTACATGCAAAGGAAACTTATCAACTTCAAACAATGAGCTTTGCGGCATGAAACAATTCGCCAAACAAATTCACGTCGTTCAAATCTTTGAAGTTTCTAAGTTAGATTTCCTAACGTAATCCCAAACTATGAAGTCACCAACAAACTACACTTCAATTTTAACATCTATGATTTTTACCGAGACAACAAGAATTCTACTCAAAGAACATACAGTTTGTCAAACAAACATTTTATTCAAAAAGCAACTTTGAACATAACCTAACGCAAACTTAACCTCAAGTCAACTATCTTACAGCCAAAGGATTCTTAATATTTAATGAACAATTTTACAGCCAAAAGATTCTTAATATTTAATGAACAATTTTAAGTTATAAGCTTAAAAATTTATCTTTTAAATACAAAATTCAACTTTTGATATCAACCAACATTTCATTTACCAATTTCGATTACAACAAACTTTCCAGGAAGAACACAACTTACTTCCTTCAAAAGACTTTACTCATTTGCTGAATCAACTTTATTCACGTAATATTTAAAATTCCATCTTTTTATGTTTCATTATATATATATATATATATATATATATATATTCAATATTAAACAGATAAAGGGAGACAACTCTTAACTAATATCCAATATCAAACTATGACAGAAATTTACTAATATTAATTAATCTGAACTGATTAATTCTTTGAAAATTCTTTTACTGACAGGAACACTGAACAAACTCTCCATCTGTTCATTCTCATTCTCATGTTGTATATACTTGTAGCGATTGCTATGTTTTTCCACGCCCACATTTTATTCGTCTGTAATTGGCTAATAAATCAATACTACTTTTCTATAGGACAATTTAGCCATCGCAGTCATTTCTTTGAATCCTTCGGTTTTAAGCTTGCTTGCGTGTTTTGTTAGTACGAATGTATTGATTGGTTAATTTTTAACCAATCACATATTTTAGTGCAAGATTAACCTTTTCCCGCGCTTCTGTGGGAGCCTATTCTTTTTCCTTAAAAGAGGCGACTTTTTCACAAGTCGTCAGTAGGATCCAGTAAGTTTCGCCTGTCCAAACGAGTCCACGATCTTATTCATAACATTTCAAATACACACACAGACACAGAATCTTGTAATATAAACTCACACTTCTCTCTGTGACTTAGCCAAGCCCAATCAACCAGGACTCTGTTAATTTCGAACCATTCTATAACCCAACACATTTCTGACTAATTGTATTCTTCTGTTATCTATTCTAACAAACAGACCTTTGTTCTAATATTGGTTTCTGAACATTTTTCTCTCAAAAAGAACTTCCTTCGAACAATCAATTACAAACCAAAATACAGTTATACAACTTCTTTCCCTTAACCTATACATTGAATACAATTTTATTGCATGTTTGTTCTTGTATGTTATTTCAACATATACTTGTTGATTCACAGTTTGGAGTTTTTGTTGTTTACTTGAATCCTGTACGTTGAAAGTATAATAATATAAATAGTAATGACCCATCTACCCACTGGGCCATTACATATTTGTTATATAAATGATTTTTCTCGTTTTTCTAAAAAGGAGTATTGCTTGTTTTATAATTTGCCGTTGATGGCCTTTTGTCATACCCAAGGTTAAATGTTTGTGGAGAAGTTTATTTTCACGCAGCCAACACAAATAATACCTTCTGATATATACATATTTTTCCTAATAAACTACTCCCCCGCAACAACATTATCGGCCTCTAACCAGCACGCAAAGAATTTTCTCTCAGCAATCCAAGAAAGCTAAGTATTTCAAGCTATCTCTCTTCGTCTACTTTTGAACACATACAATCATATGAGCAACGAACTTCAGTGAGCAACGAACTCTCTTACCTTTGTCTTAAACATTTTTTAATATTATTTTGTGCCAGATCATTTAATCTGTTGCATAAACATTTCCACTTCATGACAAGATGTTAAAACTACGGACTTTAAGAATTCTGATTTATTTTCCAGAAAAGCTCTATCTGGAGTCAGGAGTCAGTTCTGATGCGTCTTTGGCGTTAGACAGACTTGTCCGTCGCATAGTTCCAGTGCTGTACGTTCGTAGTGCCATACACATATCGGGATGTGTAGATGAGCTTGAAGCTGGTAGGGAAAATCATTAGGCAGTCGGTGGGAAGTCATTTTGGATATCACTACTTGTTATGAAACATAGAGTTTGTGTAATAATAGAAAGTTACATATTGTTGTGTCCATGAAAAAAAATAATTATAGTATCAAAAAAAAAAAAAATTATAACAATTATAATTATAATTATCATGAATTCACTCATTCTAAAAGAATGAAAATCGATCCTACTTTTCTCCTCTACACACACAAACACGTGATATTCTCACTGTCGGACAAGCAGTTCACACAGACAGGTCGTCAACACGAGCGCCAACGAAAATGTTGGTTCCTTTTCCTTTTTCAGACCATAATAGTAACATTTACCTTTTCGTACTCAACAAAACTTCGAGGTAAGTAAACTCCAAACACATCTTATATTTTCCAATTGAATTAACTGGACACTCATTACACACACCTATAAAAAAAAAAAAGCTTACGAGAAAGACTGTATACTCTTTACTTATTCTTTATCTTATCCTTCTGTCGGATTCCGATCCATATTTGATCTACATTTGACCCAAAACTTTACTCAGTATGACTGTCTCTCTTTTCTCAAACACCACATAACAACCAGATATTTAAATAATACTAGTTTTGTTATTTTCACGGCTTGCTGTTTCTCATTTTTACGAGTATTTTTCTAAAGGGGTTGTTATAACAACATCAATAATGATGATGATAATGATTGTAAGGACTTCCGGTCCCACTAAGGAATGCTGGGATCAAGACGGATCCAGTGGGCAGTTTAAATAAAATACTTTATTGAGTTTACCACGTATCGTGTCGTCTTTGTGTGGCTTCGACTTTTCAGCGACCAGGCTTCCACTCTAAGCCTAGTAGAACAGGGGTTTTCAGAGTTATAACTCCCCTACAATATCAAACAACTTGGTAGATAACTATATCTCTATCAATAAAGCTTCTTATTCAAAGACTTAAACTTAGTCACATCTTCATGAAACCGATTATTTTGTGGTGTTATGAAAATTTTTCAATGTAGTCAGGCGACCGTTGCGTTTGTTTCGAAATTAGGCAATTCGCCAAACTCTAAAGAAAGTTATTAAAAATAGAAATTAGCCCGTGTTAAGAAATATATTTTTAACCACACGGAGTTGAATTGAGGAAAATTTTTAAAAAATCCAATTTACGATCCTCATAAAGGTTAAACCACAAAAGGTTTTTTCAGTGCTTGGTCAGTCAACTTGGAAATGTCATCCCTGAAGAATGTCAA